GTTCTCTTCCAAAACGAGTTGTTGCTGAGTAAGTCTAGCCAACAAATCTGAAGCATCCTGCATAGAAAACTGTTTGTAAATGCCTTTACCATTTTGATGAAAGTCGCAGTGGTTTTCCGAATTCCAGTTCCATACAATAGAACTGTCTTGACGTGTATAGTGAAAGTATTGACGTCAGGGTTGGCTGGGAGTTCGTTTGAGTTTCAGAAATTCTCAAGTTGCAGGAATGTTATCCTCACTTTTCCAATCCATCCCTTCATTTACGAGTCGTATTCCCTTTGTTTATCACTGATGGTGCTCAGGTTCCCATCTATTCCAGTGTTTTTCCATCAAGTGCGATTAGGTTGTTGCCGTCTGTGTCCTATTTTAGGACTTTCGCTTTGCTCTTGTGTATGTTTATGCCTACTGCTGTAGGGACTAACCCCATACTAGTTGTCTTTACCTGCGTTTGTTGCTGGGTATGTGATAGAGGAGCTAGGTCGTCAGGGAACTTCACATCGTCTAGCTGCTTCCAAGTAGTCAACTGTATTCCTTAGTTGTTCTGAGATGTGGAGGTCTTCACAAACAGCCTGAAGATGGCACAGGTATTCAGTGTTTGACAACGCTTTTACCAGCAACATCTAATATAATTCGTACACACCAAAAGATATCAAAAGACAGAGTCGAGGAGATCGGAAGAGTGTATTTGGCGATAACCAATATATCGGAATTCTCGGATCTAATCTGGCTAGCGATTGCGGTAGATGTTGAGCACAGCGTTACCACACATGATGTGGTGCGGATACATGACCGAACGCCTTCAGCTAGATGAGTCCACTAAAACATATGGTCAGCACCCAATGTTTAAAACTTACAGAGCTATTTATTTTGGGGATTTATTTACCGCTACAAGCCAACCATCAGGAAGAAGACAAGAGGCTAGAGTAGATAGGCTTGCCAGTCAAGTACTTCCAATGTAACAATGTCAGACATAATACGCTTCATTCGTCATTTATAGGAAGCCAGAAAGGATGGATTGATATTTGATGGCTTGTGATCTTCTGTTTGAGTTATCTGAAATCAAACTAATTAAACATCTACTTACTCACGCGAAGCTACGTTTTTGACATAGAATACTGCAATCCGGTATACCGAATGCTTAAGGAGCTCAAAAGTCCACTAGACATCGGACTTAAATTCTGGATAATAAGACAGTAACAACGGCCAAAAATGATAGATCTCAAATGGCTGTCTATGTAGAATATATTCCAAGCATCAGGAGCATAACCAGTTTGTCGACAATTAATTTTGAAATGATCCAAAAAGTGGATGACTCTTGATTACTAAAAAGCAATATGGTCATAAAACATGAATGTCACAGATATAGTCACACTCTTTCAGAACAAAGAGCAGTATGTTGCTTGTGGAAAAGTAAGGGTAAAGAAAATCATTTCAGAGAGTAATTTTAGGCTTCTTAGTTGGATACTATCCAAGTGAAGCACGACCCCATTACCTACAACATAAAATATATCGACACCAAGCACCTGGGAGTTTAAAATCTGAGGTTTGCCATCTTTAATATCTTTGCTAAGCAAAGATTTACAGAAAGGTATTAAACTCGTGCGTTCGTTGTTCATCAGCCCTCTCATTTCAGAAATTTTGGATTGCGACTGCTTTTTATTAATATATAAGTACTGAATGAGAGAGGGGAAGTCTTTGATTAATACAGGTACGGGATGAGTCATAGAAGAAGGAATATCGCAGAGTAGCTTCTTAGGGTAGTGATGTTTGGTTAAGCTGTTTGAGTTGTGGCATGTTGCTAGAAGAGCGCAAAGTTTTTAATTTGTTGTAGACCAATATTGTGAAAATCACCCTCTTTTTCTGGTTTTTGGCATAGTTGTTTACCCGAGCTTGATCTTCATCCATTGCAACGCTAACCTTGAAAGTTTGGTTTCTATCATGCCTCTGCTTTTTGGTTTACCTTTTGACTCTGGAAACACAAATGTTGAAGTTTCGATATGAAGTTTCTCACCAAAATTATTATCTTGAATACAATCTCGGTATCCCGCAAATTTACTTTGCATCGTCGTCCAACTCGATAAATTTTTCATTCTCATGAAGCTGATCTGTAAGCGGTCTCATAAGGGACACTAACTTTACAATGAAGAGAAGACGTATTAATCCTAATTGTGATCATGAATCGACCAACCATAGATCGCCATCAAAAACCTAGAGGCACTGGACTGTCGCTTCGTCGTAGTATGAGACTACTCAGTAGTGAGTATCCACTGTCCCACACATATGATTCAAATCCGGGACCTTTGACCTTCCACGACCGCTTAACATCTAGACAGCTCAGTTGGCATCCAATGGTCCACTGAATGCGCACAGTTGGTTGGGCGTGGTCGGTTCCGGATGATCCATAAAGACCCCCGCTTCATCCTACAGAGAGTGAGTATCTTGAACGTCATTGCTATGCCCGAGAAAGTCTAGGGACTCGGCCCCGATTTGATATTTCCGAATGTTTGCAGTAGTGCCATGATTATGTGGTTTCTTGTAAGCAGAGTTCAGATGATGGAGGTGGAATTCTACGTCTGAACTTCCTACTAATCAGTCGTCAACAAAATCGCGGACGAAGTCGAGACCTCCGAATACACCATATTCGATTTCTCAGAAAGTTTATCCCGCACAAATGTTCGTGGAGTTCAAAGTTAGTAATCCTATTCGTTTCAGTGATATCGTCCACAGCCATAGTTATATGGTTACATGTTTCAACCAATTCGATCTTTGAAAAGATAGTCCTACATTAGAAAAAGAGCCCTCATGTTGCAAATGCTAAGTAACGAGTAGTAATCGGAGTGTTTTTCGTATTCGGCTATCGATAAACTCCAATTAGTCGCCGGTTACTGCCATTCTTTTAAGGGATCATATGTAACGAGGATACCTGCAGGCTTTTTGATGGCTGATGATTCCCATATCAACAATGCACTCAAAGTTGTTTTTTCAGTCGTAACTCATCATGAGATGATCGAAGTGCTTTCGAAACTGGAGGTGCTACTGTCGTTATGGTGTGATGTGTTATAATCTTGACTGTGCTTGCGTAGTATGAAGTGCTCATCGAGTATTGATTGGAAGCAAGAACCAGTTATATGCATGATTCTGACAGGGCACAACCTACAATCAGAAAATAAGGCTCCACAAACAGATGGTACTGTATTTCCGTCTACTAACCTCCAATTGCTTGTGGTGTTGAAGAAGGTCTATACCAATGATTGGCATAGAGAAGTATACAACAACTAAAATCCAGGGAGTGGGTGTGCGTGAATCAACTGTGGGGCAAGCGTACCTTTTACCGGGTATTTCGATCGGTCTTCCGTTTGTCGCCTGTAAATTGAAACGATCAAAGCTATTCGCGCGCACAATACTAAATTCTACACGGAAGCCAGTGAGATGGCGAACTTTTATCATCACATCAGCGATGTATAACAGACGGCTACTTCCATCGGCCATAGCCGCCTTTAACGGGTGCCGACGGTTAAGAATTCCGAAGGCTTTTGTGTGAAGGAGTTATAAGGGTTGGTAAAGCTGAATGATTTCATGCAGTTTCCAGAAGATTTATCAATGGTATTGCGGTATTGCCATCAGTTTAGGTAATCTCTTTCTCGTGGCCTAGAAACAGCTCATTTTGTGTGATGAGGTTTTTTGAGTTTTGGATTGTCTGCGATAATGCTGAAGGTTAGGAAGACGAGTGAGAGTGTTACAGAGATATGTAACTTCTTTCTCGTTCGACATTCCAGCTTCCTGGCTTGGTTGCTAGTCGATTTTGTAGAAGGGCTGACCTTACCTATGTCGATCGGTTAGGTGTCCATGTTTAAGGATAGCGTTTCTTGAAGTGTCACAAGGTTCAGAAACATAACTAGAAAAAGCACTGTGTCGTGCCTTTTGAGCTCGCCCGATAATGTTTAACTACTAAGGGGAACTGTGCATGTTAGTTCGTCATGCCGTGCTTGTGAAGATCTGTACAAGATAACCGTGCTCCTCTATCGTTTTCCAAAAAAATAAATGAGTTGTAAAATATGCGACGTAAGTGCCTTGATTCTAAACAGTTTAAGTGTGCGTTTTTACAATTGAAAAAAGTCATAAATTCGTGAAAAAATCTAGGAATATGGAAATGACGACATCATATGTTAAAATATATTTGTATTTTTAATGTTAAGACATGGGACAGACTCACAGTTTGTCGTTTGCTTTACCGGATCATATCGAGGCTCACCACTGAAGATATCAGATTTCGACTACGCTATTGTATATCGAAACTTTACAAGAGAGGATTCCAAAGACAGTCAAGCCAGAAGTCAGAAACGAGGGCGTTAGAAGATATATTTGGAATGAAATGAAATCGAGACGTATGATTCCAGCGAGTATGCACTTGGAATTTTCCTTGTCTACTGCTAATAATGCAAACGACTATCTTATTGCAATTACTCTGGTGCTTGGATGACTTTAAGATGACGTCAAGTGAAGATGGCTTAGTTTTGAATAATAGGTTATTAATAAACGATCCGAGATGGGATCGATTTTACGTATCCCATAACAAACACGAATACTTTGCTGATAAAAGTTTATGAAATAAACATCACTGTAAAACAAAAACGATGAATATGAATAGATCATTTTGTTTATAGTTTGAAAAGAATGTGCTATTGTGGATTGTTCGTTTCTAATTGGTCGACATGCATGACCTTGGCCTTCAAACAGGAACTCCAGGCGCTGTTTAAGGATTTTAGTTTTATGAGTCATCACGACTATTCTGCTCCCAAACAAAAAGAGACCGAAGATATTTCTGTTGACGATAATGATGAAGATCCAGTTGTTTCAATGATTGCTCGTACTGGATGCTCAAATGAACATTATGCGATTCTTGATTGTATGAGTGAGAAGAAAGATTGGAGACATTGCCAGGAATTTGTAAAGAATTTCAAAGACTGTATGAAAAAACACGGAAATTTGTGAAGTTATCTATGGATCCGGATAAGGCCCATGCTTTGCGAGTTTGTGGCCCAATGATAGTCCAATCTCTTGATCCAGACGCTATCCTGGATTATCTCTTCTCGAAAAATTGGATATCTCATAATGAAATAGAGCTCATTGGATTAGAGAAGACAGCACAAAATAAGTCCAGAAAAATCCTCGAAATAATACGCTTACGTCCATCTGGGGCATTCGATGACTTCTTAGTGGCTCTGGATTGTGAAGGTTCATTTTTAGCAGCTGAGATCCGTAAGCACATTGCACCTTCTCCAACTAGGTAAGTTGTACACTCAATGCATATGTGGTCAAGTATGCACAGCCTTGCTACCAGATCCTGGTGATGATTATTATTCCGTTTGTTGATGAATTTCGCTTAGTAAATAGGGTGATTCTTTTCTCCCGACGTCATAGTCGTTCGTTTTCGTATAGCTGGAAATCACAGATAGTTGTTTTGTAGCTTCATTTGTTTATTTTTGTCTAATCAAAGTGTATGATTACTTTGCCGAACAGTTGTTGTTATTTGGCGTCAGAAGCTGGTTCTTTTATGGTGTTGATCTGTATTATGTATTCACACTGCCTTCAAAAATACCACTCCAAATATATCTGCTGGTTTTCTGTATCTATATGGCAGTAATCATGCATACAAAAAATACTCTAGAATAGTTTGGTGTTGTAACACCTCAGCTTATCCAAAATAGTTTCACTGAGGATGAAAAGACAAGTTTGGTATAAGTCAGGAGTCTTGCACAGTTGTTTGCGTAAATGGTGATTTAAATCAGTTTGGTCTATGTTAATGATAGTATATACTTCGAATAATCTCAACAAGAACCTATAACAACTATTGTGTTAACCTTAGGTCATAATAAAAGGCACATTTACAACTTTTATATACTGAGTTTTAAGCCTCATTCTTTGTGAGGGCTGGTGATACTACTTGTCTACCCGAACAGGAGTAGACTCGGGTTTAAATCTGCCATCCACTGACTTAAAGCCTCTCTAACACTCTAATTGCCAGTCATCCAAACTTAACCGTTGCGCAGTGATTTATACACTCGACTTTCAGCCAACAAGTCCTGTATTGGGACCGCGCCCCACCTACTTTATTTAGGCGGTGTGGTATTGTCATTACCCCTTTCACCTAGTGTGGTTCATACCCAAGTATGAGCTAATTTAACTTAGTTTTTTATTTCTACTCTCAACCTGATACAAATGTTAACACTTGTCTTCCAAACCTGTTTTTAGTGAAAATAAGGTAAGATCTTAAGTTGGACAATCGTCGTTGTTGTAAGTTTTAGTTGGTTGCTCTTCAATTTTCAGAAGGGGTTTGTTTTGTCTGAGTGACAACTATACTATTTAGCAGTATCTCCTTTGAGTTCTTGTCTATGTGTCTAACGTCAAAAACATTTTCATCCTTTGGTTGTGTAAAAGCTGATAGGAAGTATGAGCCAGATGTATCTGTTTCTCCTGATATTTTAACCAGTTGTCATAGATGTCACTCTGATGAGGTTTTTATCTAATTTCATAGGATGAACCCGTCCAGTAATCATTTCTTTTCGATGGTACATTCACTGTAGTCCTATTAGGCAAAAATATTACTACTTGATTTAAACATTGTCACAAATTCTGAGTATTTTCCAATTGTTGTGTATAAGGGAAAGTATTTATCACTGTACCATCAGTCAAGTTAAGGACTGTGGCAACAGTTTTCGGTTATTGCTACACAGTTAGTCTTTTTTTAACTTCCAACAGCAATCTTTCAAACGTACAGAAAGTATATAGGAAGCTTTTTTAAAATTAAATAGGAATAGAATGAGCTCACAATCGAAATAAGTTATTTAAGTTCAATAACTTTGGTTATTCAAATAAAACAATTCTACTGAGGTCCCACGTAGTGATGTCCTCCAGAAATTTAACATAATCTATGTAGCTTGATAAACTGACTATAGCTACAAGGGTGATTATAAACATGGGGATTTCGTTTTAGCGGTTATTTGCAATATGAATTAGTAGCTTTTTACCGTTCTGTGTATTGCTAGTCTAAATTTTTCCTTTTTTTAGCGTAAAATACAAACTCTATCATAGATATTGTCTTTTGTCTTTCTATCAGTAACGTGTAATTGGGTCCGGTCTTCTATTTACAGGAAAAAAGAGCATAGCCTGTCAGATTTAAGAGAATTACTACTTGAAGGGGCAGTTCCAGATAAGCCTTCTCGCTACATTAATCGTCCGGATCTAGTGAGTGCTCTTTCCAACAAATTACGAGCGTTAGCTGACCACTTCAGAGTTGATAAAATACCTGCAGATAAGTTAGCTGAAATAGATATTACACCGCGATTTCAAGACTGCTCAAAAGTTATGAATAATCTCAATCCTCCTCCTACTAATGCTTGGCTATTGATTCATGGGTCTCCTGGGTCAGGCAAGTCAGTTTTATCAGCCAGTGTTCTGCGTCAAGAACCAACTCTTCTTGCTGACTGTTTTCCAGGAGGTATGTTCACATTTCACTAAATTGTGCTCTAAATTTTTTGGTTCTAATAAAAAAATTCTATATAGACCCTTGATCATTAATTCTATAGAGCTATAGGTTTCTTGATAGTTTTACAAGTAATGAATGATTTTATGAGGAATGTAGTAAAATACTATGATAACATTGCCACTCTCTCCCTTTCTGAATCATATTAAATTATTCATTTATTTGAACACAAATATATTGGTACAAAAAGGCACCTAATACATATGCGCCACTCAAGTCACTTGATTTGTGTGTGGGTTGTGATACTACCCTGGTACCTAGACTGAAACAATAGTGTCTCAAGTCTCTTAGTGGTACGATCTCTGTGATCTCGACCAGGGAATCATGATTGTTTTGGTGCACGCTGATTGGCTAATTCTTATTCAATCATCACTAGTCGATAGTTACAGAATACTCTGGAATCTTCTTATGTAAAAACTATAAATATACTGACGTTTTCCCTATTGTGCTTCTGACTTGCTTCGTACTTCCATCTAACCTTGTTATTTGGAATATAATCTCTTCCTGTTCAACCGTGTTTTGATTTGGGGACTTGTCGAGTGAATCGGTGTCCGAGAATACTAAGCAATAGGAACAGCTGGGTCATAACCGTAAGAAAAGAGATTTATAACACCAGTCCTGCACAGCTATTTCAGGCCACGGTGCTATGTCACAAACTGATTGCTTTTCTGTTTTTTTTCCACCCAAATTCCATAAGTAGGAAATTATGTAGAAGTCTCTAGAGTGACATTTATAGAGCATAATGAAGCTAATGCATTCAGTTTTTCAAATAGTGGCGCCATTTGGACTGTTGTCACTGCTGTCAAACACAAATTATCGAGCCTTATTAGTACGAACGTGGTGTTGCTACCGGATGTAATAAATTCTTCAGGGAAATAATGATCGACCATAGATAGTCACCAAATACCATCAGCTCAGAAGCCCTAGGTATCAAAAGCATGAAACAGAATTGCTGTCGCTGACATATCGTAAACTAGACCCTTTACTGACAGACTAACATCACGACGGCTTCAATAATAGCCCAGTTTGTCATAATCTGATCTGGCTTTCACTTTAGGTAGACTGGTCACACCAGTCACTCCATCAACAACACTCATACAACTACCTAACTATATCTAACGCTTCATCGCAAGCGTGAGGGCAGATAGGCTCCAACCATCCTTGCAGTAGTGCTTTGCATTTAGACGGTGCAAATACATGCCATGATTACAGAAACTGATTGCTAACTGATCAATTGCGATTTTCGTAGTTTATAGTGTAATCTCAATCAGATGATGTCATCTGCATACTCAAGTTTGGAAAGTTTTTTCTCCAGGTAACAAACCTCCCATCATTACCTACTTACATTAGAGCTGTTTCCAGAATTCTGTCTATGGTGAGATTAAGCGACCCTGCATAGTCCCACTTCAACCAATCATAATCACCATTGAGCTTGAGAAGAATGTACGTTGACCCGCGTTACCTTACCACGTTAGCACAAGATGCAATTAGTGTGATGATTTCAAAGGTTTCGAAGTAATTATGATAGCAATGGTAGTAAGAAAAACTGATCAGTGAGAATATAATTCGTGAACAAGGAATCGGAAGATATGTCTGAAGGAATGCGGAAACTCAATATCTAGAGGAAGATAAGAAATGAATGCATCTGCGTGGTTGTGGGCCATGTCGCCTGATGTCTCCAACCACAAATGGTAGTTATCTTAAGGACCCCAACAAAGTAGTTTGCATCTATCAACGTGGCTTTAATAAAATACCAGTGGCTTCATAAACTGATGTCGTGTGTTCAACTTGGTCACTCCTAACTTTCTCCCAACCTAAACATTACATCTCCAGACAGACGGTGATTAGGCATACGTAAAACATGTCCCAACCACTTCAGTCGATGAAGACTCACAATGTTATAAACTGCTAAACTAAAACACAGGAGATGGGTGTCTGAATGCTTTCGTTCCAGCTGAAGCGTCTATGTACAGAGTGTTTAAAATGTCAAACTTCTCAGGTACAGTTTTCTTTAACAGATAGTTACAAAGTAGGATCCCGTCCAACAAATGTAAGGCACTTTTGATATCAAAAAGCACGACGACTGTTGGATTGCGGTAAGTTTGACGAGGTTCCAGTATTTAGTGGAGGATTGTTGACGTAATCAACTCACTCACTGCCTGAATGGAAAACGGCTTGTTCCTTGTACATTATACGGAAAATGACAGAAGCCTATATTTTAGAACCAAATAGATACACTAATGCTTCTATAACTTGCATAAATTACGAAGGTCATTTTTAAAGATGAATAATACTATCGCTTCATTTCAAGGTAATGGAAGACTCTACTTTCCAAATCTCCGAATGTCTCAGTCGGTTCACTGATTAAAGGTTCGCCACCATCCTTATAGTGGATCTGGGATAGGTCGTCTGGTGACTTGTGACGCTTCAAAAGCCGAAATTTTTAGTAAATATAATCATTTTCATTATGTTTTTGTGTGGGTTTTGATACTGCCCGGGTCCCCAGACCGAAGCAGATGGTTTTCTTAGGGGGCCACCCCCCAGCCTTTGACCTGAAGGTCTGATCCACAAGGCAGTGGAGCATCGTGAGGAGATGTAGTCCCATGGTAGCCGGTGACCAACGATTGGTTCATACGCCATTTGTCCCCTTAGGATACTGGAGCCCATGTGCACCATTAGTCTGGGATCCGGTTGAAGCGCCGGACATTCGCTTCTCGTCCTCTCATTTTCGTAAACAACACCCCCGCCACGAGAAGGCAGTGAGTAGGACTTCCCTGGCAGAGACTGTATACGCGTGGCCGCGTGAGAGCATTTCGAGAGGGAGGGCGGGCCCACCCCACTCTCGGCCATACCAGGGCATTTGTATGACATGGTGTCGCGGTATGAAAGAAAGCTGCAAGGAGCTGGCCTGTGTTGGTCCTTCACGACTTCCTGTCTGGGGTCCGAAAGATGGTGCAACACAGGGGCTAGAGACGTTATCAGATATGGCTCAGGATAGAAGTCAGTGGCGATCCTGTTGTAACCTTCTTTTACTTTCTTCATAAAAAGTGGTTGTACCTTTCGTAACTGAAAGATTTCTTCTGATTGTACCTTTCCGTTTCCCCTATTATTATTATTATTATTATTATTATTATTATTATTACACTACCTTACACTAATCTGTTCGTTATTGTTTTTTTCTCTTTGAATTTTCATTGTATTGTGTGGCTCATATATACTTGGTGCCCTCTTGTACCAATATTTATGTGTTCAAATAAATAAGTGGATAAGTCGAAGTTTTTAACAGACTTATGCTTTGTGTCGTTACTGTCAAGGAAGCATAAGACAATTCGGCCGACGTTGCTCAACCAATAAACAAGTTGAAATGTCTCTAAGTGCTCTAATTAGTGTTCAATACACCCTTAGGTGTTGATACTTGTGCTATCAACTTCGAAGATTGTCTCGCTGATACCAAGCTTTCCACTAGTGTCTCAGATCTTTTTCATGTGTATGTTTTATTTCTCAGTCAGTCAGTCAGTCAGTAACAACGTAGATGTAGTAAAATTATAAGCTGTAATCAGAAAAATTAGGGTTTGAAGATGTTATTCAAAGAGTATAATCCAGTGAAATAAATTTGGAAAGAGAAAAAAAAAGGGACATGAAGAATTCAGAAGATTAGAATTTGGGAGAACACAAAGAGTGGATGCACCTGCGCCATTGCAAACGATTTTGAGCCATGTCATTCAGGGTCTCTAACCATCGGTTGCTATCATCTCGCGGTCCCCAACCAGGTAGTCTACACCTACCAACATGACTCAGTCACTTGTCAGTGACTTCATGGACTTGTGCCATGTTTTGGTTGGCCGCCCCTAGCTTTCTTCCAACCTACTCCTATACAACTGAACATCGCACGTCGAGGCAGTCGGTCGTTGGGCATACGTAACACGTGTCCCAGCCATCTCAACTGATGAAGTTTCACTACGTCATCAATTGATTTGCCATCCTTACCTAGTACCCGTTTCCTAACAACTGTGTTACTTACTCGATGGTCCCATGATATACGAGCAATGTTTCGAAGACACCTATGATCAAATACTAGTAACCTACGGATATCCTCTACTCTTACCGGCCATGTTTCACTGCCATAAAGTAGGACGGAACGAACTGCTGCGCAGTAAACACGTCCTTTGGTTGATAGACGGATATCTCGCCTACGCCATAAATGACGCAAGTTGGCAAAAGCTAGTCGAGCCTTCTGTATCCGTGCTGAGATTTCGTCACACCCCAACCACAAGGGCTGATGAGACTTCCAAGATAAGTGAAGCGGTCGACACACTCAACTACTTCACTCCCTATCACTAGTTCGGGTGTCGATGTAACCCAATCCTGAAGCAACATTTTGCATTTCGAGGGAGAGAATCGCATCCCGAACATGCTTGCATTGTTGCTTAGAGTGGTCAGAAGACTCTGCATTTTGTCAGCGTCTTCACCAAATAAAACTATGTCATCAGCATATTCTAAGTCAACAAGTGAACCTCCCGGTAGAAGTTCAACCCCTGGAAATTTAGATGAGGAGAGTGTTATCTCTAAAAGTACGTCGACGACAAAGTTGAACAAGAATGGGGAGAGTGGACAGCCCTGACGAACACCACTTGAGGTAATCAATTCTGATGACAGTTCGCCATAAGCTCTCACTCTACCAGTTGTGTTCGAGTAGAGAGCCTTTATAAGGTTAATGTACTTCTTTGGTACTCCTTTCAGTGACAAACACTGCCATAGAACCTCACGATCAACAGAGTCGAATGCCGCCTTAAGGTCGAGAAATACTACCATTGTGGGGCGTCTGAATGTGTGTCTGTGTTCTAGAACCTGACGTAGTGTGAATATCTGATCTATACAACCACGTCCAGGTCGAAAACCAGCCTGGTTTTCTCTAGTCTGCTCTTCACGAGCTTTGTTAGGCGTCGAAGTATTATTGAAGCTAATATTTTAGACACTATATTAGTCAAACTGATTCCTCTGTGATTGTCACAAGAGGACTTTTGTCCTTTCTTATAGACTGGCACAATCAGTGATTGAGACCAGTCAGATGGGATTACGTCCAGTTCCCAAATTCTACCTAAGACCTCAGTTAATCTCATTGCTAATACTGGACCACCATCCTTAAAAATCTCAGGAGTAAACCTGTCAGGGCCTGCTGCTCTCCCTCGTTTCAGATTTCCTATGGCTTTTTCAACTTCGTAAAGGGGAGGACCTACATTAACTTGCCATTCAGGTTGACTGGAGATCGTGGGAAACCGAAGTGTGGCTGAAGGCCAGTTGAACTGATCCCTAAAGTGTTCTGCCCATCGATCCAATCTCCTGGATTGAGAATGAATAATATGTCCATCTTTCTCTGAGATTGTTTCGCTAACGGTCGGTTTCCTAATTCCGGTTTCCTTAACGAGTCTGAACAATTGTCTGCTATTACCTATTGCCGCTGCCTTTTCCATCTCTCTTGCTTTCGCTACCCACCACTGTTCGCGATCATTGCGTAGACTTCTTGTCAGCTTGCGCTTAAGCTGACTCCGCTCTTCATTATGTTCAGAGCCAGGTGGAATGAGTTTCCGAGCATCTATCAGTGCGATAGATGCTGCTGAGATCCAGTGTTGCTCCCTAACCTTCTGGTTTACCTTACTAGCAGATATCACTGCTGTTTCCACAGCTTTTCGGATATCATTCCATGCTGCATCGGGGTGGGCATCACATACATGGCTGCCTAACTGTTTTCCTAGTTGTTCCTGAAATATACTCTTAGCTTGACTATCATTAAGTAGGCCCTAAGAGGTTTCCTTGCAGCGTCTTTCCTACGTCCAGTAAGACGCAAGCAAATACGCGCTCGCACTAGAGCATGATCTGAATCTAGGCATGTGCTCCAGAATGAGCGACAGTCTTCTATCGAGCCCCTCCATCGGTGGCTGATAGCGATGTGATCTATTTGGGTCCAACGTTGGGACGAATTAGGGGGTCGCCATGTTAAAAGATGTTTTTCCTTATGCTTAAAGTTAGTATTTGCAAGGAACAGGCGGTTATCTGAGCATAGCTGCAACAGACGGTCGCCATTATCTGTTCTTTGAGCCACGACCCATAAGATCCACCTAGGTGTCTTTCCCTATCGCTTAGTTTACCTACTTGAGCATTAAAGTCACCGGCCACTATTACTACATCCGAGCGCCTAGCTTTTCGGAGAAGGTCGGAAAGCTTTCTGTAAAACTCATCTTTTACATCATCTGAGCTGCAGTCAGTGGGAGAATAGGCAGAGACGACGAAGAGGCAACGACGAGTGTCCCTATCTTTCCGGATTCTTACTGTTCCGTTCAGTCGGACAGCGCACAAACGACTGTCTACTGGGATCCACTCTAAGAGAGCTAGTTCTGCCCTAGGACTCAATGCTATACCTACGCCGGCGAGGCCACGGGAAGCAGAATCAGGGCTTCCAGATACACGAAGCGTAAATCGAGTCGGTTCTTTATTTTGGCATGGTGAGGTCAAATGAATGACGCTACTCGGATCCTGTATGCGCGTTTCGGAGACGCAGCACACATCGATGGCGCGAGATTCTAAAGTTTAGCTAAGGAAGCCTGTTTCCTATTTGGCAAAGTGTTCGTACGTTAAAAGCTCCTACGTGTAGTTTAGAGCGTGGTTTCAGGAGACCAGGAATGGCGTTCCACGTACTCGAATCGTTTGCCCTAGCGGTGCGAGGTGATAAAGAGACGTGAGGAGGGTTAGTCATGGAGATAAGAGAGTTATTAGGAGGTGTAGGAAGGATTTGAATGTGACCACTTGGTCTCTTGTGCTGTTACGGGTATGAGGGCTGATGTCACTTCCCGGCTGCCCACACCGTGGAAGGGTATTTCTTGAGGAACCTGAAAAGGAAATTGGATTAGTGTTGGTCTTGACGACCTGGGAGCGTGACCGCAGAGCCCGAAAGACGGTCGCGCACGGCCTTTTTGTGGAAGGTTTTTGACGTGTTAGCTCCGTTCTTCAAAGGGCCTTACCGCCGGAGACGGAAATCCGTGAGGTAAGGTGAGGTGTGACATTTTTAGGGTCGACCTTTTCTAACCCCACCCCTCCTTGTGGGAAGGCAGCATCGCTGTCATGCTGGTTGTCCGAGGGAAACACCTTACTGCTGTCACACCCCTCTACAGTCAGCAGTACGACTTCGCCCTCAGACCTTGAGTTGCTGCTTTTAGTCTTACCGTTCCAATCGACCTGCCTGGCATGGTAGAACCTACAGGAACATATGTTCCAGCCAATATAGCTCGGTTGGGTCATCACGATAGGCAAGCCCGACCACCGCGTCAAGGTAGCAGCTTCGGTTGGGTTTTATTACTACTGTCGTTGATGTTTCATTATCTATATTTTTGGCAAAATATGTTGGGAAATCTTTTACTTCGAATGAGCTAATCAATCAACCTTTTCTTTTAGGTGTGATCTGGATGCATGTTGGACCACTTTTTGTCAATACTTCAAATTCTGATACCGTCTCATATCCTAAACAGAACATCATACAATTAGTTGATCGATTAGCATATAGAGTAAGTCAACTGGGGGATCATGTTCACGATGCAAATACGAACCATAATCTGTCCGAGTCCCTTCACTTTCCAACTAGTCATTCACTAACATTAGATGATAGTCTTGAAAGACTTAGAAGATCTTTAATTCGTAAGCAGCAACGCACATCTTGGGGCCCGGATGAGAATGGTAATCTAATTACTTCCTTGCTGCTGATTATTCTCGATGATGTATGGGATATTGAAGTTGGACGAGTACTTTCCAATTTGCCTGGTGCCTTTTTGGTTACTTCACGGGATTTAGATATTTTGGAGCGAGTAGAAACTCCTGTAGATAAAGTAAGATTTTTAAACCTAGCTGTACTTCTGCTTTTAATATCCAGTTCATTCATGCTTTCATGTTTTCTGATGAATGATAAACTAAACAGTTGTCGTTTATCATTTCTTGAAATGCTTCTCTAAGATTACTTACTACCCCTTTTTGTACATATAGGTGGCATACTTAATGTAGTTTTATCTTATATACTGATGATTTCGGTTTAAAAGTTCATTGATAAGATTAAGCTGATTGCCAGAAATAAACTTGTGGTTGACCGAAAATTCTCATATGAAATGAGGCAACAATAATATCTTTGATAGAGACTTCCGTAGCAGGATGTACAAAATATCTTAACGAAGTTAGGTTTTGATTAGGCTGTTTCATATTGATGGAAGTGGTATAAAGTCACTTGGATATTTCAGCATCAATCTAATGAACACTAATCGATCGTTCTGGCTGTTTACTAGATAATACCTTGTAAAGACTCGGGAGGTAAATAAGTGACAGTAAAAATCGATATATTTGTGTACTACATATATTTCGTGTTTAATTTGTAATTATGTTTAGCTCCTAGACAGGGTGGTGGTTAATGTTGTGACTTACAAGAAAGGTTATTAGCTGAATTCCTGAGTTACTAAACCAACTAGCAAATATGTTTTCATCCTCTGTGACTATATTATTGAAAACAGGCCTTATATACCCGGACCATTTTTCATCAATATTAGAATGCACTATTTTCGGAGATAATTATTCAAGCGACACAAGTAACAATAAAAATATAGATGACTGTAAAGTTGTATGTGCATTATCAGCAACAAAATCCACTATTTATGTTTGTGATTATAACGAAAGAAAAACTTGGAAATGTAGTTAGATATATTGAGACAGCTGTGCATTGGTCGAAGTTACCATACCACAGCACAATGAGCTGAAATTAACAAGGTATGTAGCCAAAGAGATCGGGATAATGTAGTGGCAATTACAATAAAAGCGATCAAATGTTAAGTGTATTTTAAAAAGAGGGTGGAAGGGTATTTATGAAGGGATACTGCAATTTAAGAACGAAGGGAAGATAAACAATAAATGCATCTGCGCGATTGTGGACGATTCTGATCCATGTCACCTAACGTCTTGAACCACTGGTCATAGTTATCTTGCGGACCCCAACCAGGTAGTCTGTATCTGCCAGCATGACTCAGATCAACAGTTAATGTTCCCATAGGCTAGTCTATGTCTTGGTTTGATCGCCCCTAGTTTTTTTCCAACTTATTCTCAAATCAGGTGGAATACCAATGGCTAGTATAAGTGGCGATCTCATATTGTGAATCGGTTCAGCGGCTCTGCGGTAGCATAATAGCTATAACATCTTACACTTCTAGAGGTTACTTTTATGACAGGCTTCGAACTTAAAAAAAACAAACTACTTTTTTGTGTTGTTTTATCTAGTTGTTATACATCTATGGTGGGAAGCATCGTTAGATTAGTCGATGCACCACGACTTATGTAAATGAATAATATTTGTTTTGTTTTTGTAAAACTTTGTTACTTTTTGTGATATGCTAATTGAGATTTCTGTCCTACCATCTAGCTACATTTGCACAATGACTTATCGGAAGATGAAGTTGCTAGTCTTTTGTCTATGTGGACTGGATATTCAATGGAACAATTTATCTCGTCTAGCAAATCATCTCAAAATGTAAAAGATTCTGACATTTCCTTACCTGCTATCAGTCAAATGACATATGGATTACCTTTTGCTGTTAGTTTGCTAGGAAGCCTCTTATACAATCACGTTCATCGTCTTTCTGATTATATTATCAGTGTAAATAGAACCGGATCTAAATTTCTTGATTGGGTGGCTATTAAACGTCCTAGTGCCTATGGTTATGATTCTATATTTCAGGTAAAGTGTTTGTATGTTTGCTTTTTTATTATTTATAAAGTTTTTGGTAATTACCACACATTTTAGGATTTAATACTTTTAGGAAAGAGAGAAATTGCACTTACAAGTCGAATTTTATTCCATACATCTTTCAAGACGTCCCATTTTCAAATTCTGTTCGCTTTTAATTATCATGCAAATAGTTGTTAACGAGGCATGTATATCAAGCATTGGTTATCGACCTTCATGTAGTTATATTTTATAGTTTGCTGAGTCTTGAGTGCTTCACACTGCCGAACTTCGTGGATTTATTAAAAATTTGAAAATGACTTATAAATATTATCAATATTGTGTTTTTAGCTTGAACTGGATTACAAAACCAACAGCAATAACAGACTGTGTACTAAGAAGTACTGTTGTCCGAACACATGAAATTGTTTTATTTTATCTGATAGGACTGTGATTATTGAAGATTATCATCATTCTTTATATGGAGTTTGCGTGACAGCACACCACTGGAGTTTATCAGAAGAACCTCCTTGAATTACACCTCTTATGTAAATAAGGGATGATTATGCATATTTCCATAATTTAAAATGGGTTAGATATTCCGGCGATACATCGTCCTAGGTGAATACTGTTAACTTTTGTTTATTAATGTCAACAAAAATGCAGAAGTTTGTTGGATGTTAATTCTCATCGAGACCCGGTCACAAAGTTTCAGAAATATTGGATGCCGAAGAAACTAAAAAAATGTCTGTGATTTCCTAGCCAATTTGAAATGAAACAATTTTACGGTTTTACCATGTAGTCCGATAAGTTTCAAGAAAATTATAATTGGAATTCTGAATATCTTAAAGATGCTCAAACCACACCATGTAGGGAGGTTGAAAGTAGTCGACAGGAAATCCTTAACCTAGGTTTCGTGCTATTTAGCACTCGTGAGCAAGGTGTGCGGTAGTATTAAGGGAACTGATGCTCCCTGGAGGATTCAATTCCATGTCACCTAACATGTCAGTCACCATCTTACATCCCAACATAGTGCGCGTAATGTCGAGTCATTTCAACTAGTGGTTACATTGCAACTTGATAGATAGGATTCGTTCAGGACTAAGGACTTAACACGCATCACATTGTTCACTACTCGGTGACCTATCCATTGTAAAAGATAAAACATTTGATTTTTGTCCCTTCGAACACGTCAGTATATGTGCGAGTCTAAAGTCACATATCGCATATATGTTTTAAGCGTTCGAATGTCGTAACGTAAGTGGACCATTTGTCAACAGAAATCCATTTACGTTTAATTTGTGAAAAGTTGGTCGTTTTGATCAAATCTTCACATTTCGATATTTCTAATGTAGCTCTTTTTTCATCTTTTCTCAAGGCTTTTGATAAAAGCATATCACTTCTGTCACCCGAAAATCAAGCATACTACCGACGTTTGGTAATATTTGACCCAGGCATTGTTCTGACACCAAAAGTAAGTCTTAGTGTATCGTATTAGCATCTTGTCGTAGTTATAGTGGAATAAATTTGTGGATTTTGCTACCAAGTGGTAGCTAAATATCCATTGTGTTAAATTAGGGTTACATGCTGTTTCAGAGTTTTTTTCTTAAATATATATCTCTCCGTTTTTCTATGACTGAACAGATTGAATAATGTACATCGTTGAAAACCTTAGCGACAAATATCTAAACCCAAACAAAATCGACCTAGAGGGTGTTTTAAAACTCAACCTAGCTTATTTGTAGGTTTATTTGAATCGACAATTGTTAAAAAATGACAGATTAAGAGACTGATAAGACTGGACAGTAAATGTTAGTCCGCATGAGCATTCAAGCGTGTGTGACTACTAACTGTTTTTCCGGCTACAAACTTTGTTTCTCTGATTTGGTGCCTATTAATTTGGGTTATTAAATCAGAAGGTTCTCCATCGCCCTCTAGGGAGCAATCTCATCACAGTATTCGTAAAACATTGAATTTCGTAGTCCATGGAAGTGGGAGTCATTCACATCCTGTTATATTTTTCATTATTTAGTATCTATTCATCTGCGTCTGTCCTGCTGATATATGTACTCGATTTACAGTAGAAAGCTTGCAAATCAAGTTTGAGACATGATAAGTCTTCTATATAAGTTATCAAATACGGATTTTTAATACCCTATAAATCAGGAGACTTACCAGCGTCCTTGATTATAACTGATAAAAAGAATTAGATTTACTCCTAGACCTACGATTTCCAGCTATTTCTCATACTTTTGTTTCTGATCACTGAGTTTTGGGAATTGATTGTATTTATCCTTGTCTTCGATTTGATTTGCCTAAACGTTCAGTCCATTGTCTTTGAATTATCTACGCCTCAATCATGTAGTAATTCTTGTTTTTATAATTGCTTTAAATAACTAAAGATAGGGTAATTAGAAGTTTTTTATGTGTTCAACTCAAAGACTAAAGCTTACTTATTTGCCTACTTACTCTTGTTATACCTCGTGGAGGAGCATAGGCCTCCCACCAGTATTCTCCATCGAACTATGTCCTGGGTAGTCCTTTCAAGTTGTTATTCCAGTTGCTACTCATCATTTTCATGTCTGCTTTTAATTCTCGGTGCAGCATATTCTTTGGCCTTCATCTTTTCCGCTTCCCTTCAGGATTACAAGTTAGCACTTGCCTCGTGATGCAGTTTGATGATTCCCTAATGTTTTTCCGATACACTTTCTTCTTCTTTTTCAAACTTCCTCTTCACCTGGAAGCTGACTTGTTCTCTGCCACGGTAGTTTGTTTCTGACGGTGTAGTGCACATGGAACACAGGGGTGGGGGAAGATCAATTTATTTTTTAATACAAAACTGCAGAGTACTTTTGCAAAATATAAAAATCATACATTAAATACATAATTTGCACATCTTCTATCAGTTGTTTTTTACATGCTTCATAATTCTCTCAATTCTGTTGTTATTACAGTTACTTTCTGTTTCCCTTTCTGTTCTCTTCAATTTAATCTTCCCAATCTCCTGCAGGTATGCACTCCACTTTCTATTGGTTTTTACACACTACTTTTATCTGTGAACACAAGTAGCATGCACCACAATAGTATCTGGTCAAGGGACATTTAGTATCTTGCGTAGACAATTGTTTATAAATACTTGTTCATGATGGTTGTGGTAGTTCTCCACGTTTCAGCTCCGTAAAACAGAACTCCTTTGAGGTACGTATTGAAAATTCTGACTTTGATATTGGTTGACAGTTGTTTTGAGTTCCATATGTTGTTCAACTGTAGGAATGCTGTCCTTACTTTGCCAGTCTTTGACTTTACATCAGATCCTCCAAGTTCATTGGTGATGCTACCCAGATACGTGAAAGTTTCCACTTCTCCCAGAGTTTGTCCATCAGTTGTGACTGGGTTGGCGCTTTCCGTGTTGTGTTTGAGGGTCTTGCTGTTTCTCTTGTGTATGTTGAGACCTACTGATGTAGGGGCTTCTGGTGCATTAGTTGTCTTGATATGCATTTGTTCGTGTGTGTATGATAGAGGAGACGGGCCATCTACAAAGTCCAAAGTTTCTAATTGATTCCCAGTTGTCCATTGTATTCTGTGCTTTCCCTCAGATATCGAGGTCTTCATAATTCAGTCGACCGCCAGAAGAAAAAACTCAGTGCTTCTTTGATGCCTTTCCAGTTATCCTCCATCGTAATTTCCTCTTCTTTCACTAGATCATGTAGGGCTTGAGAACTGTTCTGAATTGGTTGAGTTTGTCAGTATCTCGAAGGAAGGCTGTATTGAACCTTTGTAATGCTGTTTGTCCAGTTGTCCAATACTTCTTTTGCTTCAGCGATCCGAAGCTCTGTCAACTCCTCTCCTGGTTCTCTGTATTGTGATCCAGTGAAACCCATGTAGCTTTGTGTATGCGTTTGTGTGGGAATATTGTGTCGCCTATAACCATTTTATCGAATGCAAATCTTTCACCATTCTCGTTCATTTCTCCCAGTCAGTCTATATCGCCCTATGATATCTTCATATTCCTTGTTGTCCATTGCGACTTTGGAGTTTATGTCATCCATCAGGATGGTCAATTTCTTTCCTGAGCACTTCGCTATGATCGATTGCAGCCTCTCGTAAAACCGATCGTTGTCGTTGCTATAATTAGTGGGTGCATAGCACTGGGTAGTATTCATTGTGATTCCACCCTTCCTTGTTTTGAAAGATGCTTTGGTGATTCTGAATCCATGGGATTCTCATCCCATAAGTGCGTTTCTCACTTCCTTGAACAGTATCAGAGCACCTCCCTGTGTGTGCGGCGCATTTTCTTCTTCATGACCATAATACAACACAATGTATCCCGACGCTTTTCCTTCCTTTTCAGCTTGGGTTCAATGAGTTTCTTCTATTCCATGAACCTCCATTATGTGTCTTCTCATTGACTGGTCCTCCCGGTGTACCTCATTGTCCGGACATTCCATGTACTTGTGTTAATCGTTGTTCTGGTTGTTGGAAGAGGCATTGGCCTCATGACTTCCGAAGAATCTTCTCTTTCATCATGAGGCGTCATATTTCTTCTTTCAACTCTTAGGGTAGAGTATAAATGGCTTAAACCTTTTTTTTCTGGTTAGCGTCTTTTTAGCAATGTCGTTTTCTACCACATGGGGTTATTGACCATAATCCTAACTCTCCTCCTTTACCTGGGCTTGGGACCGGCGGTAACTTTAGAAGATTTACAGATGAAATTAAAGACCAAAGCATCGAGTGTATATTCAATATGGCTTTACTTTAGGTGTTAATAAGGGATAACAGTGACATCTATTTCGATTAAGCCCGAGAAACTATTTATTCTGCCAAAGAAATAACAGCAAAGATAGTTATTAACTTGTGACTCAAGGTTAACCAGTATAAAGAAGCTTCGTCTTAACTAGGTGCGCGAAGGTTAACTTTAAGAATCTTATTACTTTTTTAATGAATTGAAAGTTAACCTACCAGCTTTTTCGTCTATTTTTTTTAATTTATTCGTCATGGCGTTCCTATTATTTGTACTAACCTGATATTATGCTGTGTATTTTACATGTTCCAGGTTTGTGGGATCCTGTGGGCAATACCTGAGGACAAGGCTGAGAGGATTCTTTCTATCTACACTCGTTATTCTTTAACTGTTAGGCATTGGATATATAAAGTAGGAAATTGTGGCTACACAATACATGGTATACAGCTAGATCTTTTGAAATCATATATCGACCCCGTTGAGCAAGCAGTAAGTTACTATTTTCGTGTATCATTTATTAGTATGAATCTCTGATACTGAATAATGGGAATGTAAGATTTGAAACTGTGTGATAAGATGTAACATCTTTCGTATCCAGGGCATAACATAATCTTTTTTGATTATTTAATTTTTATTAGCCGGACTAATTTAATTGCTTAAACGGTAGGTTTAAAAATTATGAGAGAAATTCAGACAGATTTTGTTAGCCGACTGACCTTTATGGAATTTACGGCTTGACTGTTTAATCCTAGTTAATTATATGATTCGGTTTTGTTAGTATACTTCGTCCCTTGTTTTTATATTATTCTTATGTATTCACTAGGTAAGACTACTGCTAGTAGCAATTCATAGACATGTATACTTATAGATTTTCTGTGTAATTTAATTCAGTTCATTTGAAATCCATTGATTGGAAATGATACTGTATGGTATAAGAAATTTACTTTTACGTGGGTTTACGGGCATCAAAAAGTTAATAAGCTTGGTTTTCAATGCATCAGCATTGAAATCCTAGTTTAGTTTAACCTTGTCTTGTATATTCTTAAACTACGATACCTAATTCTCAAATTTGTGTATTGCCTTTCACTCACTTTTTTTTCTAGTACGTTATATATATAATGTAGAAAGTTTTGACTTGTTATTTCAGCTATATTTTTGTAGTATGTTCAAATTAGTTTTTAAAATGCATTTTATTTATATTTATTAACAGACCACTAACCTTAGTTTGTTTTAAAAATACATTTGTAGAACTACCATGCCAAATTTATACAGAACTATTTTACTTTTTGTGGGGGTCGTTGGTTAAAACTTGTATCTTCTTGGGAACATATTTATTTCTGGAATAATGCCACTGAACATTTGTTTAAGGCTGCTCAATTGGATAAGTTAGTTGATTTGTTAATTAACTTAGATTTTCTTCGTGGTCGGCTGAAAATTATTGGTACGACACCCGTGATTGCAGACTTTCAACGTTATCGTGCTGTTTTTGTCACATTGAATCGAATGGCTGAATGGTAATTTTTTATTGAAACCAGCTTTTTGTTGTAATGAAGTTATTCATCCTTTTTATTAGATGTTGTGTGGTATTTATTTTAAGAGTTAATTCAAAATCTGGCTTTAATAACTAAAATTAGTCACTATTGGTTGCCGGATGACTGAGATATTTATTGTCTGATGTTGATGATCCAAAAACGTTTTCCCATGTAAAAGTGAATGATTCATCCACCGCATCACATTGGTCCACAATTATCAGTTTTACTGAAAGCTTTTTTTCGAATAGCAAGAAACTATGAATACATCGATTTTTAGCTAGCAACATATATCTGTCCGAACCTACTCTTAGTAGGTTCGAACGAGTCTACTGAGGACTCTGAACCTACGTTTCATGCTTATTGGAACTCATCAGGAAGGTATCTACATAGTGCTTCTATAACACAGTTCGCTTAGAATTCATATTTCCCACTTTCAGAGTAGTAGATGTTGTAGTATACTACTTTGAAACTTCTCTTAAGTCGTTTAGTGTTAGTTGATTTAAATCTTCAGCTTCGAAGTATTGACTCGAATGGTTGGAATCCCGCTTCCCATACTTCAAGTTTTGAAATCGGAAAGTGTCTTTACTCTACAAAATAGCTCCATCCGAAGGTTTGGTACACATACGTGTGCCTGATATCTAAATCAAAGCATGAAATCTTACTATTTATTATTCCCTAGTTGGTTTTAGGATAATCTAAACTCTTAAGTTATTAACTTAGTCATTTAGTTACCAGATACATTGTGGGCTTGGTCGATGAAATTCTATCAGCATTGAAAAGTGAAGATCGTAACATTAGTTTACTTGCTTTTAAACAGTTAGTCTGTTTTACTGACTAAATTATAACATAATTTAAATGTAATTTATTTCGAAAACTTTTAGGTTGGCTTATCTTCGTTTTATTCAAACAAACGCTTACTATATAATTGATCCAACTATTGTTCAGGACTGTGAACGGTCTAGATCTCCATGCCAAGGATCTCGTAGAAGTTCTGTGGCCAACTTGGATCTGTCTCCTCCCAACTTCAGACCTGATTCTAGATGTATAAGTCCTGTTGAATCACGGCGAAATTTGTTTTCAAGAAATATCAGGTCAAATTCAATTAATATACCTGATCGTTCCAGTTACAATACCACATCACCTAAAGGCATAGACTTACTGCAGCTGGGACTTGGCCTTTCCCAAGACAACCCTGTATTTCAGCAAGCTTTCCAGTTATTGACTGAGCGTCATCAATCTGTTTTAAAAATGAATCCCTCATCCAAAGAAGAAGTGTCCAAGACTTTATCAATAGTTAGAGCATTTAAGTATTATTGGTTTTGGTGGTAAGTCCTAAATCCATCTTTTTACACTGCAATAAACTTACTTGAAAATTGGAGGTGTTGATCTGTTTTGTGTATAACACATTTAAAACCGGTTAATTAAGATTTGGCAAAAATGAATTTGTTGGCAAATATCAAGACTACTTATTTTGTAAGTGTATGCGTCTGGAGAGTGCGAATTAATATGAGGAATATTGTGCGTAAACTAGGACTTGTAATAAATAGTCTGCAAGACAACTATAAACAAAAGTAATCTAGTTGAATCTGTTTGATGTTGAAAAACATACTTAAAATTGAAAGTTTTTGAAGAATTCTATGAGCTTAGATTCTGCTTTTTACATAATCTTTGTTCATTGTTTTCATATTAACTTGTTAAACAAATCAATATGATGGTGTCTTGAATTTCCTAGAAATTATTTAACATGTGTATTTCACTGATTAGTGAACGTCTTTTTTTTAAAAAAAGCCGTTTGTAATTTTAGTTGCTGGTAAAGAAAACTGTAAATTTAGAATAACATATATAAGCGAACAATATTGTTTTCGATTAGATCCTCACCAGGCTTTACTCTAATATGCAGTATATTAGAGTAAAGCCTGGTGAGGATCTAATCGAAAACAGTATTGTTCGCTTATATATGTTGCTCTAAAGAAAACTGTTGAAAAATTGTCTACAGGCTTTGTCTTTGATCATTATCTAGTCTGTTTCTTACTAGAGTAGAATATATTTTGGAAACTCAGTATTTGTGATTGTTTTAATGTTTATAGTTTCCAACTTTTAAAAGTTTGCAGTTGCACCACCAATTCACATATAGACACATACATTACAGTATGTTGTGAAAGTTCAATGAACGAGTTTTATGTTGTTGAAATGAATGTAAGGAACCCCGATCGATAGATGAACGCAGTAATATGATATGGCAAAGTGACGGGAGGTTTCGAAATCTGATCATTGACTCAAATTACCTCACTATTGTGGGACAAACATACATTGGTTACAGCTAGTGGAAACCAACAGGAAAGTTTAAGCAGTGATAATAATAATAAGTAGGGATCTACCACCTTGTCACTACTGAAAAGTTTGGATCTAGAGAGAGATAGACACTCAATACTTTTATTTTTTTATAATCGTCTAAGCCGTTCTAGTCTGTTACAAAATCTAATGTTCTAGCGGAATTAATTTCCACAGCTTATTTAAACGGGAACTAATTAGACAAACTTTTATGCATAAACTTGTTTAGTCCCCTGAATTTTCGTATTTTTTAGTAAATTAGTTCAGCCTATATTTTGTCTTATCTTTTGTTTCATGATAAAGTATGGCCTTCATTTTTATTTATCACCTCGTTAACCAGTGAGATTTTATGTCAGAATTCGTTGACCAAAATCGATAACTTATACTAATATGTGAGACTGAAATTCTCTCTAATTAGGAAGGATAAGTTTTTGATTTTAAAATAATTATCAAGCGACATAGATGGCTAGAGTCTGACTAACTCTGCTAATTTTATGGTGATCCAAATACGGTTATTAAGTCAATTAATCCTTTCTAACTAGTATGATGTAAGCATACTCCTTTACTAAGCTGTAAGAGTGTTTAAAGAATTAATGTAGTTGAACACGTATGCTTGGTTAAAACCTGACACTAGACTATTTCAGTTTGATGTGCTACATTTCCAAACAAATGTTATTCATGAGAATTCTTATGGAATACTCTGTTTAGTAAATTCTATCGACCGCGAAAAAATTAAGTTTTACGAAACTAAATAAAACAAGTCTTATTTATTAAATCACAAGACCCTGTTCGTTAGATCTATTTTTTATGTTAAAACTATCATTCATTTATGTATAGACCCGAACTTAAATACTGTTATAACATTGGATTTATTGTGGAAATTGAAATATAAGGTAACTTTTTCTTTATGGGAAGGAACAGACTATCTGGTACTTCAAAGTTTACAGTTGAGTATTGCATATTATTGTTTTTATGTGCTTTTGTTCCGATGAAATCTTTATAGTTTATTTTATATGAAATGAAGTCAGGCATTGCAACACTGTGATATTGTAGTTTACTTGGTATTTACTAATTCACAATTTAACATAACTTATTGATAATTTCATATTCTTTTATGCATGTTTCATAATTTCTTGGTAAATTTAAAGCGGATTTCTGCTACATTTTTTGGTTTTCTTATTTTCCATGCTATAGTAACAGTCACATTGCTGCTTCTCAATTATTATGGGCCATTCCAACAGGATTTCAAGCTGTCACATGTTTGGCTATTGAGGTACCATATACCATATCCTCAGCTTTTACAAACGTCCTAACAGATGATTCGACGGATACTGTAAGTACAGACAATCAGGAGGATTTAGCTAATGATTCACGTTATTTATATCATAATCGTTATCGCAAACGATATCTAGCTTCAACTAGTGATGGTCGAGTTCTTCTTTTGGATGCTAATTCAGGCTATGAAGTTGCATTGCATCAAGTAAGTAAACTAGTTTGTGTGTATTTAAATAATAATAATAAATAAATAAATAATAACTTGTAGCCCAAGAAGAGCTCACTAACAGTAGGTAGATTTTGTGTCTGGACTTTGGTAATAATCGGATTTTCAACTTTGGTTTCTTGGAGATAGGTGTACTTCTTGGCTCTCTACACTTTGTATGTGCTTTCTTATGATGACTTATTGCATTTCTTCCTCAAGAAGTCTTATGATAATATTTGGATTTATAAAAGAAATCTGAGCGAGTATACTATGTTAATAAAATTTCATAATTCTAAATATCGGTTCCTTACGCGTCCCAATTTTTTAAATACTTTTAAAAAGTTTCCAAAGATGTAAATTTAGAATCATTGCTCAGATGGTAGTTGTTTTGTATTTAGTGGTGTAATACCACTTCAATATACCTTATAACTAACTATGCAAGGAGATTGATATAGTCGTAACTTTAATGGATCCACTTAAGTTTTGAATTTGTATTAACGTCTATTGTTTGTCTATATTGTCTACATTGCAAATTAAAATTTAAACTTCATGTAACTTATTTACCAACTACAAGTTTATGTACTGGTCTCTATACCATACTGTTTGTGTAAAGATTATTGATAATATCATGGTGCTCATATCGAATTCGGTGAAGAGGATTTCGAATTCATGACTTAATGTTTGGAAGTTTAGTATATTGTTCACTAAGGGATTGCTCCGTTAAACACTATGCGAAGCAAGTCAATTCGTCGTTTGGGTATGATTTTTTAACATAACTTATTCTTCATCATTTCAGTATAACACCTTAGCATATAAATTTAAACATTGTTTTGTGACTAAACAACGGATTTCTCACATCGTATTTCCTTTAGTTAGGAATAGACTTTTAGAATGATATTTACAAAGTATTACTCTTGATATTTTCGTGTGCTTTTTTAATGTTCCTATTACTTTTCATTTCATGTATGCAGTTCCAATTACCTCTTCAGCTTTATCTCTGTTGTTTCTCTTCGTATTCTTTCTTTTCTTTGTTTAGGTATATTCACCTGAAATTGAAGTGAAATTTCTAAGCTTCTTATCGAATAATACAGAATGTTTAACCTGTGGATCCAATGGTAGTTTAGTGTAGGTTTGGTGTTTTCCTCTTACACTGTATTAATAAATTTCAACTGTATTAATATTTCAGTATTAATGCAAATTTTTCGCTTGGATTATCTTTTTTTTAAAGAAAATGAACACATGAGATACTCTTCATTTACATAAATGTAATGACTGATCGGAATTACTATTTATCTCCATGAATTTTTCTGCTTCATACTTACTGATAATGATTCCCGTTATTGTTTGTTTGATTATATCATTATCTATCTGTACCAGAAGTAATAAATTCATCTTGTTAGGAAATCGTTTCCACTAGGATATCTTGATCACTGTACTATGATTTATGGTGTCTGGTCAATGACTGGATCCAGATCGTATCATATCGTCTAAATTATGTTCGTTTACGAAAAAGACTTCAATCAACTCGCGATATTGCGAGATCATTTCCCAGCGTTTATGGTGGATAACTGTCTCACACCCGACATAGTTAAACTCTACTGGCCTCAACTTCTCACCACTTTTTCAGAAATTGCATCTTAAAGTTCATAACTAGTGAGCGCGTGATAATATTAGTGATATAAGGGTGTTTATATATATTGATGCCAACCCACTTATGGTGGTTTGCTAGGCAACAAACATGATAATTACATATTACAAATTCAAAGTATTTTTGGAAATAATTCACTTTCTTCTATCCGTAAATTACTTAAGTTTGATTGTCAAGTTTTACTTAACACTAGCATAATTAGCATCATAGTCATAGGTTTATTTCTTAACATTGAGAAAAATTATTTCTATGCATGAATTTCATAATTTGTAGTTGTTTGGTGCTTTCGTATTTTGGATTTTTTTCCCGTTTTAGCTTTATCTATTATTATTTATATATTACCGGTCTTATTCTTATTATTATATAGAATTTCAACACTTCCTGTTGCTGAGCAAATTTCAGGTGAAGAATTTTATCCATACGATAAAATTGTTTCAAACCATGAAAATGGTACATTTCATTTCGACTATTATGGAAATCATAGAGATAGTTGTAATTTAGATGCTATTGGCAGTGATGATGATGATGTTAGCATCAATAATGGCTTTATTGATTCGAAACACAGCAGTCAATATTCAACTAGAGAAAATATCAACATCTATTTGGAATCAAATGACTCGGAAGTATCTACTGAAGGGACAATTAGACGTCGAAAGCGTTCAACTATTGTTTCACCAGTTTATGATTCTTCACCCATCGATGTTCCAACACCTACTGTATTAGCTGACTTACCTCGACTAACTGAATTGGCTCGTGTTGATAATGCACAATCTACAACATTACCTATAACTTCTCAGGTTTGTTGTTTTATTTGTTTATCTTGTTATTGTTTTCAGAATGTTCACTGTCATAGTATTTCCCAAAGCTTATGTAAATAAAATTGTCAGTCATTCATGTTAATTTAAACCTTTAGATATCAAATTTGATTTTATTTACTGATTACTCACTGGTTGATAGGGTTTCCTTGTTTTGCTGAATGATTTCAAACTACGCAGATAAATTATTTAAAAAATATCCTATTATTACTCTTACTTCACTGTGTGTCCATTAGTGATCGAGGTTTGAGGTGATAATTGATAACATAAAATTTAATTTATGCTGCATTATTTTTTCTCTGGAATTTCAAATCTACAAAAACGAAAGGAAACAGAAAAAGTTCGTTTTTCTTTCTTTTGAATTTTCTCAGAATTTTTACAGAAATATTGCCATTTTATGTTGTTAAAATATATATATTGATTCAGAATCACAAGACGTTATTCATCGATTATTTTTTGCTGTTATTTTTCCATAGATTATGTGTTACTATGATACTCAATAGTATTGAAATGAGTGTTTAAGTTAAAGTTTAGGCAATTTTTTTATATTTCAGTTACTTAGCAACATGTTGGTTGTTTAAACCTCTGTAATTATAATTCATTAACTTGGCATAAATAAAATGGCGTGTATAATATTTATCTTGTAAAAATATTAGTTGTATCATTATTCATTATAAACTAGGTTCAGTTTATCATAATTCATCATTCAGTTTAGATTATGATTCTTGTAATTCATCACTGTTTGTTGGCATGATGTACTGTGTTGATTTTTCTAAAACAACCTATAACATTCTAACTCAATTGTTTTTGTTAAACAAATATTTTTATTCCAGTTAGTAATTAAAGATCGTAATAAACAATTAAAATAAATTAAGTCATTTAGGTTATTGGAAAATAATAATCATATTCACTTTAATTCTGATAACTTTGCTATTGAACTGTTATTAGTTGAATGCTGTCATGTGATTGTATGAGCAGTTTAATTAAATTGTTGAATAATTAATAATACAAAATGTTACTATTCCACTGTGGGCAAACGTTGTTTACGAGACTCTAAATTAACTGACTACTGAACTGAATGACTAACAAAAACTGGAGCACTTAATTACAACTTTTTGTGAAATGTTTTTTTACACTGTTGGCGATTCCCGAATCGGGGAAAAATGGCTGTTTAGTGCTCTCTGGTTGTCAGTAGTTTTCCTGCTAACTATAGTTCGTGACTGAAAGTGCCTTCAAAACACACGAACATTTCAACGGAAAAACGTCAGAAAAAAAATCGATGAAAAAACAACTATATAGGATTCAATGGTCTTTAAAACTCATCGATTCTAGGATATAGGACAGGTTAATATTTTGTTCATTTTGACACGGATTGAACAATTAAAAATATTAACTAAGAAGATGCTTATTTGTCCATGATAACAAGGTGGTAACCTCTAGGAATTATTTATGGACTATTATTACATATATTCCTATTGGATAGCTATTAAGCAACTATATTGTATGTATATTCATGTTTTCTTTCATCATAAGCTTTCTTTTGATCTATAGACTACTTTTATACGATTTAATATTCCTAATTTATTAACGACAGTCTCTCACACTCACAGCCACTTCTGCCTTGATCTTGTGTAATTGTTATTTTCTATTTTGTTGTATGATGCGGTCTGATTTGCTTGTATGTAAGCTGCGTATGTGTGAAATACATGATTCATACAGTGGGAGCTGAGATTTGTGTTCTAGACTCAAACGGACAGGGTTGGGTGAGAAGAACCAATAAAGACTCAGAGTTGACTCCAGGCTGCTCGTACTGGTTTATGCGTCATTAGTTTGACACAGTGTCAGGGTCATATAAGTCGTGTTCTGGTTGGCGATCGTATCACGTGATAATTAAGCGGAGTCATAATAATATCTGAGGCATCATTGAAATGTCTATTTTATGGGAAGATAATTTTCGATCATTGATTGTCGAGTGAACGAAAGTACAATCAATGGATAAAATTAATATGGTCAGATGTAGATACAAAAAACATGTTATAACATTATAAGTTCCAGCATGTTGATCTAGAAGAATAAAGAAAAAAAGTTTTTCTTTCGAAAATTCAAATGTCATTCTCAAGTATTCCTATCATTAATTGATTTACTCATGCACTTTTACTGCAGTTATTAACGATTTCTTTCTTGCGTAACGAAAGTTGAAGTTACCTTATTTTATGTTTCTGTGTTCTTCCGTGAACTTTTTTTGTGTAATTTAGCTTAGAGTAAACCAGTTTAATAATTGAGTTTCTGAATACTTCGTGCAGTTATCCAAATTTTTTATCAGATTAAACTAATAGATATATTTTATTAGTGAATAACCTTAGTGACTGTATGTGCTATTATAAATTGTGTATATGTTTTGTTTGTTTGTTGATTTATTTAGCCCAATCAAATTTCTTCTGAGTCAACATATCAACTTCAGTGTATAGCCGCAAATTCCTCCTTAGACCTTTTGATTATGACCGGTGAAGGTTGTCTTGATTCTGTGTCACATCGTGTAGATGGAATTGAATCAAGTACCTACATAAAAACTACACCAAAACTACCAAATGTCTATCACTTGAAACGTGGAAGTGGTGGTAAATTACGACTTGATTGTTCCAGAGAATTGAGGCTCCCCTGTCTTCCTTCAGACCACTGGTATCCACAGTTATGTACCGATTCTAATTCAAAAGTGCATCTCGCTTCTGTTTCAGAAAATGGAAATATTATTGCTGTTTGTTTATCTGATGGATTTATATGGTTTTACAATCTGGAAATAATCTGTTGGATTTCCTGTATTTCGACCAAATTATCTATAGACTTTGTCACAAAATTCTTATCTCAAAGATTTTCAATTGATGTATTTGAAGAATATGAACGGTTGCAGGTAAATAGATTGATGGTCAACTATTTAATTTATTTCTGGTTTTTGCTTTGTAACATGTGGATGTTTACAGATTTCAAATCTCTACATTCCGAACACTTACTGAGAGACAGAATGAGATTGTTAATGAGTTTAGTTAATCACATTGATCCATTGATGTATAAAAGTCATGTTTATTCATTCTTACAATTTACAAATAATATTTTGGGTATACTGGATTAACTGAAGATTTCAATGTCCCTTGTATACCTTTCAAGAAAGGTTGATTTAATGGAGGATATTATTTCTTAAAGATCTCTGTTTCCTCATTTAAAAAAAAACTGAAATGATATTGTGATCAAGGTGTTAATTGATCGAAGCGCAAGTAACCTATGAAATTGAATACTAGAATTTAGTAAGTAGAGGTATATAATGAATAATCTGCTCAATTATAGCCAATTCTGAGTCATCATCTAACGTGTCCAACCACCGTTAACGGTTATTGTGTGGTCCCTGTTTAGATAGTTTGTATCTACCAACATGAATCAGTTTAACAGTTAATCTCACATACTGGTATCTTGTCTTGGTTCATCCATCTTCATCACTTTAAACAGAATTAGTGTATGTTGTCCATTTGACACTTATTTCATTTTTTCCGTTCTAATCAAATACTTTCTGCTACTGTCTGGGAAGAAACTAATTGCCTACTTCTTTTTCCTGAAAGATCATTTAAATAAATATTTATATTTATCATCTTGTTGTCATAGTTGTTTGATGCGAACACAGTAGAAGTTGGAGTTGGACCAGCTGCATCTTGCGTTATATTTTTACCATCTTTTACAAATCATGGCAACCCAAACGACATTAATAATGCACCAATATTTTTTGCTGCATCTTTATCTACTCAAGTTTTGGTGAGTCCAGTATATGAAAACTTGATGTTTATTTTTCCTGTATGTGAATGGTACTTAATCATTCCTGATATGAAGCGTCATCAGATTTCGATTGTTTCCTGCGTCTCTTATTGACGTTGTAGCAGATAAACTTTTTATCTAGAGGGGGGAGTGGTTAACATAGTATCTGAAGCTGTTTTGATGGATGTTGTATCACGAATGGTATGAATGAAAACAAAGTGGATATCCTATTGTTAGCATTTTTGTCTACAAAGCGTATTTTAGTTCACGGTTTCTTGTTTAAATGTAATTTCAAGCTAATAAGCTTGTAAGTGATTTTGCAGACAGATATTTTTTATCAGAATGCGGGGGGGGGGCGGGTTCGGGAGATTGTAGTAATTTAATAGTTGAATTCATGAGACATCTAAAGATATTATTTTAAAATTTTTTAAAAATAATGTTTCCTTCTAGTGTTGCTGTTACACTGGTTTATTTTACTCTAAAGAAATATTGTGTTAGGAAACATACATAGTGAGACATTTGTGAAACTTTCCACGTTATTCATCTGAATTTGAAGTTCTGTACTTCAGATTTTTAATTACCAGTATTGGCTTCTACTTTATTCTAGATCAGCTGTTGATTATCGTTATCTCTTAAACACAGTACATATTAGATGTAACTCTCACCTCATGAGTTACTGTTAGATTGTTCACTTGATTTTCATACATTTTTTTACACATTAAATGTCTGCTTTTTTCTTCTCAGATTTGGTGCTTACCTAATACAGAGTTTCAATTTTCTGAATCAAGAATATTGGAAAACGAGACATTGTGTCGTAATAGCTTCCCTCGCTTACATTTGTTGTGTTCGTGTGCGTCTACAGTATTGTCGATGGATGCACGTATTATTGAAGGCCAATGCATTTTAGCTGGTGGAACCGCTAGTGGACGTGTTCTTGTACGTTTTTTTGTCGTAATTTCATTATAATAACTGATATACTAAATATCTATATCGTTTTAACCGATTATGTCACTTCATTATTACTCTTGTTTTAGATATGGCGTGTTCGTGACGGTTGTAAATTAGTAGAATTGAGTGTGCATGCTTCCTGGGTCACAGCTATACGTTTACTTCCAGATGATTTCAAACAATTTTCTGATGGAGATTATTTTGATTTTCATGTCAATAAAAGTTGTTTACCTATTGGATTGCTTACAGCATCTGTTGATGGTATAATAAAACGTTGGGATGTTGGCGCCGCTTGTTTGCCGACTCCTACAACTCCAACTCCAACTGGTCCTGTCTGGCCATATCCTTTTGGCTCCGGTTTATCATCTCAGAGGCATTCAAATTCTTCAAATATACAAAATCCAATTGCTGTACACGGGCTTTGGACCCAAGTGTTTTCTGTTTGGTTTGGTGAATATGGTTCGTTATTAGTTGTCGGACGTCGTCGACATTCTGCTGATTTGCAGGTGATATTCCCTTTACATTCCTAACCCATAAATTTGTATCACCCAATTTTGTCGTATTTATAGTCATCATTTCCTTTGTATTTGTATACATTATCACTTATATATATGACATGCGGCATACACTTCGGACTTAAGATTTTGAGTGGGCATTCTTATTTACTTCGTACCAACTGAATATAATTTGTTTGTTTCCTTTTTTAGATAATATTTATTATAAATATGACATAAATTATTCGTCTAAACACTCATGTCCTAATAATTTCAGGTGTGACAGATGGCGATGCCATTCAATTTTCTAGCTGTAGTTAAGCTGCAATTTGAAATTTCTTATCTAATGGTTAGCTTTGGTGTGGCGAATTTTCCGGTACCGTATGGTACCTGGACTTATATGCTTAAAACGATTAAACTGCTATATGAGGTATACATTCATGTGTACAGTGGTGTTAGTTTTAAAACATCCGGTTGAATTACTTAGATGCTGCTAAGCTGATAAGATGCTCAGATCCCACTAGAAACAATGCTTACTAGTGCCTTTTATTTAGTTTAATAGCCACATGGCCTTTACCTTTTTCTAATTGGTTATCGTTAGCTTCAGCCTGCTAAACTTTTATATTCTTAAATGTTATGTTTTTGTTAATGTATGCACGGAGATGTACCATTTCTTTTCGTTATACTTGTTCTAACTCGAATATCAAGTTTTCGTACAGTTCCTCTTTCTGTTTTGATGGTTGTGTTAAAATGTTATGTACTAGTCACAGTTATCGACAAACCAGTCGTATAAGAGTAGCTCATTGGTTCCTAACTCCACAAGTATTGTAGGCCTGTACTGAACCTCATATGTCAAGATATAACAGTTACATTAGTCTATTTTAGTATCTGTTAAAACCAAAAGGTTTTTATAGTGAATCAGTTTCATTGTTAGATATCGCTATGGTTCCAGTTTATTTTTCTGCTAAAATTGTATAAATTAGATGACCGTTATAATATTCAACTGAGTCTTCAAATTTATTTGAATCTCATAGTGTGAATCAATATTTTGTTTTCATTCTTAATATTTTTGCAAACTTTATCCGATTTCATACAATTTGTTCACTTCAATTACTCAAAAGTTTTATGTTGCTGTGTTTATCATGATTATGTCAGTGAATGAAGTTATAATTGAGTTTAGATATTTCTATTTATCAATTTGTAATTGTCTATTACAATTTTACTGAATTTTCGGCAATCTTCAACTTTCAATAATTATCAGTATAGTTTAAAATTTTAGGTATATATATCTATGTGTACTTGTAGATGCGCATTAAATAGAATGACCTGATTGATTTATTTAAATGCTTATTTACTCGACTAGTGAGTTATTAATTTATTTGCATACCCAGTTAATATTCACACATGGAGTTTGCTTCTCATCTACTATAAAATTGTTTCTGATTATGTTGGATTGAATCATATTCGTTATTTTAGTTCTACATTAAATAGTAAAATTAAACCGATTAGATCAATTGTATCTTTTATTAACTTGTTTGTTCTATTTATCGCCAATCGATGATACACGACGTAAATCTTTTCTAGTAATATTATGTCGTTATTATTTTTCTTTTAAAAAAAAATTTAGTTTCTATTTCGACCAAAACAATTGAACAATAATGGTAATAATAATAATAATGAAACTTGTTCATTCCAAGAGATTACTATTCGACCTAGTCAGTCATCATACTGGAATCCACAAGTTCAGCATACATATATAGAAGTTGATTCCTGTGAATCTATTGATCATCAAAATCATAAGAATTCATTGGAAAACAATCATGAACCTAGTTCATCAATAGAGAGTTCAAAGAAACCACTACCTTTTAAACATTGGATATTGTCTACAGGATTATCAAGTTCAATGTATGGAGTTGCCACTGCTGTATCATTTTGGAATGATGGTAATTGGGTAGCTATTGGCTTTAATACAGGGAATGTTATTGTAAGTAATTATTATTATTATTGTCATTATTACAATGTAGGATAATCTTTAAAATAATCTAACTATGAAATAAAATTTACTCATTTTTTTATTAACATTTATCGTAGTTGCGAGTGTTGAAAATCGTAAAGAAATCGTTATAATTCAAATCAATTCTTCAATGTTCTAGATACTGTAGAATTTATAATGTTTTACTTTTCGCAATTATACGAGTTTCAACTTTTTAAAAAATCTATTTGAGATTATTTAAATGTTAACTTACTACTTTGTGGATTTCTCATTGTATTTCGTAGTGATTTTTTGATTATTCCACTCCATTTTAGAGCTGTTCGTACAAATATTAGTGAGCGTATGATTGGACATCATTCAGTCGATACTAACATAGATCTACTTTACAATTTAATTCGAATAATTCTAAACAATCATAGTGATATTAGACGGCATCGAAATTATCCGTCTAACGAAATAAACGATCATTTGTAGCAATACAAAGTAATCGTTTATAATTAAATGTTATCAGATTATTAAAATAATTCATTGTAAGGACTAATACTTAAACGAAGAATATTGTTTTCGATAAATTCTCTTCGGGTTCTACAATTATGTAACCGAATTACTAGTCCGAAAAATGACCAGGTCAAGGTCAAAGTACATCGTTTAAAGCATGTGAATTTAGGATTGTCAAATAAAATTGTTAATGTTGATATGACTCACATGGAATATTGACTAGAATTACTTAGCTGATCTAAGTGAAAATTTTGAGATCCGTGATCAGAATAAATATGGGTCAGATAGGACGAGAGAATATTTAATGTTTAATAGAAGACTGTATTGTATAACAAATTATTTGTAAGATGTAATATGGAGGGATGAATGCGCAGTGAATGAATCATATATTGGGGAGATTAATAATGATGTTTAATCAATGGTAATAATAATAATAACACAAAGGTTTGTTAATAAAGATAACAGAGACAATTACATTTGACTACGAAATGTCGTAGTTACAATAGCTGAATTACGTAATTCAGTTGGCTTTGAGTTTGACCAGGGGAAGAGGAGCGGCTAAAGATATTTCTTTTGTACGCATAGCTTCGGTCTCTTCATCCGGATGGATACAGCTTCAGCCGTTTGAATGACTTAAGTTTGAAAAGTTTTGTCAAAAAATTGCTGACCCTATAAATAATTGAAAAGGATTGGTTTGGCATTATGACCAGCTTATGCTAAATGGGCCAATATCGAGCTGTTTACTTTCTTCACCAGACCTTTGCTTAGCCACGCTGGGAGGTGTTCGCGAGCACAGAAATGTAAATTCCTAGAACTTCGACCAATATAACTTGCTCCACAGGAGCAGTCGAACTGATAAGTACAAAACGAGGTGGTCATTCTAGGTAATTCATCTTTTAGCCTCGGTGTCACCATTGGGCGCGTAGAAAACACTAATCCTAGTTCTCCAGCGTTGAAAAACAAGTAAAAATTGAATCAATGAATTATTTATTAAATTATTGGAGATTCATTCACTGATTTATCGAATTAATTGAATATATCTAATCTGCGATTAGATCACAACGTTTGTAATTTTAATCTAAATTAATGACAGGAATTTACTTTCAAAATATAATAAGTAGCTTTTTCTTTTTCTTCCACCTAATCTGTATCAAGTTACTAGAAATCCATTTATATTTATCACAATGACAATATTCAAGGTGAATAGAACAAGTATGTTACATGCCTTTTTTTGTTCATTTTTCTCTGAAAAACGTTTTTTTTTTTTAATGTTAATAAAAGGTATACTCGCTTCATTTTGATGATTCACAATTATATGGGGTAGTAAAACGTTATAACCTATTGGCTTCTGATCACAATTTAAATAAAACAAATAATGAAGAAAAGAAATACTCATCATCTTCATTGTCATCTTCTACACTACACGATCGTATTCTACATCTTCATACGTGGATGCATGAAGATTGTACCGAGTCAATTGATTTAAAGGATTGTAAAGTTTTAATTGTAGTTGGTGTCTATGAAAGTGGATGTGTAAAAGTAATGATAATTTTATCTTTATTATTATTTTGATTATTTTCTAAAACTTTTTAATATCCATTATATTGTAGTGGATTCGCTTCGAGATAATTCCTTAAACTTTATATATCAATCACACTGATAATCGTTATTAAATAAATTCAAACGGTGTATGAATTGAGAAGGCAACACGAAGTGCCGACAACAGCTTATTATCTAATAGCTCAAATCACTAAGCCATAAGCAGCAGAACATCAAGTAAATTCGAGCAAAAATGTTAATACACGCGCGCAAGCGATTACAGAGGCAAATCAAGAGTGTATATATGTGGAAATGATGCGAAGCGGAGATTGCCGTTGTAAAAGTGGAAAACGAAGCGAGGTTGAAAAGGCGAGTTAGCCAACTTAGTCCCATAAAGCGTGACTCAATAATATTATCACTTTCTTTATATAGTCTCTTATCAAGATATCTTGTAATGGAGGTTTCATTTTTGATTATTTAACTCTGTGTGAATGTAATTTTCCTAAGATTTGAATATTTAAATCCATACTTTTTGACGAATAATAAATTTAGTGTATGAATAAAATGGTTAGTTTATTAAGAACCTTTTTCTACTGTTGACGAGATTATATTTTTGTATTAATATATGGGTTAGCTCGTGTTTATTATCATAGAAAACAATATATTTTCATTTTATATTATTCTTACTGATAAAAATTAAAAAATCATTAATCGAATCTGTTACGAATTCGATCAAAGTTTTTTAAACTAACAGTTTACATAATGTAAAATTATGTAATAATCAAAATTATTATTTCTTTATTATTTATTTGAGACATAAATATTAGTACAAAGGGGCACCGAATGCATATACACCACACAAGTCACTTGATTTGTGTGTGGGATGCCCAATCCGAAGCAGTTGGTTTTCTTAAAGGGATACACCTGGAGCCTTCGACCTAAGGTCTGATCCACAAGGCAGTGAAGCAACATCAGGAGATGGCCGGTGACTAATAATTGGTTCATACGCATTTGTTCCTTCAGGATCTTGGTTCCCACGTGGACCATTGGTTTGGCATTAGGGTTTCCCAATCCTCTTACGTAGACCCTCCGTGTCTACTCCTGATCGAAGCTGCTACCTTGACGCGGTGGTCGGGCTTGCCTATCGTGATGACCCAACCGAGCTATATTGGCTGGAACATATGTTCCTGTAGGTTCTACCATGCCAGGCAGGTCGATTGGTGAACGGTAAGACTAAAAGCAGCAACTCAAGGTCTGAGGGCGAAGTCGTACTGCTGACTGTAGAGGGTGTGACAGCAGTAAGGTGTTTCCCTCGGACAACCAGCATGACAGCGATGCTGCCTTCCCACAAGGAGGGGTGGGGTTAGAAAAGGTCGACCCTAAAAATGTCACACCTCACCTTACCTCACGGATTTCCGTCTCCGGCGGTAAGGCCCTTTGAAGAACGGAGCTAACACGTCAAAAACCTTCCACAAAAAGGCCGTGCGCGACCGGCCTCAAGCAGTTGTCCCTTGGGCTCTGCGGTCACGCTCCCAGGTCGTCAAGACCAACACTAATCCAATTTCCTTTTCAGGTTCCTCAAGAAATACCCTTCCACGGTGTGGGCAGCCGGGAAGTGACATCAGCCCTCATACCCGTAACAGCACAAGAGACCAAGGTGGTCACATTCAAATCCTTCCTACACCTCCTAATACCTCTCTTATCTCCATGACTAACCCTCCTCACGTCTCTTTATCACCTCGCACCGCTAGGGCAAACGATTCGAGTACGTGGAACGCCATTCCTGGTCTCCTGAAACCACGCTCTAAACTACACGTAGGAGCTTTTAACGTACGAACACTTTGCCAAATAGGACAGCAGGCTTCCTTAGCTAAAACTTTAGAATCTCGCGCCATCGATGTGTGCTGCGTCTCCGAAACGCGCATACAGGATCCAAGTAGCGTCATTCATTTGACCTCACCATGCCAAAATAAAGAACCGACTCGATTTACGCTTCGTGTATCTGGAAGCCCTGATTCTGCTTCCCGTGGCCTCGCCGGCGTAGGTATAGCATTGAGTCCTAGGGCAGAACTAGCTCTCTTAGAGTGGATCCCAGTAGACAGTCGTTTGTGCGCTGTCCGACTGAACGGAACAGTAAGAATCCGGAAAGATAGGGACACTCGTCGTTGCCTCTTCGTCGTCTCTGCCTATTCTCCCACTGACTGCAGCTCAGATGATGTAAAAGATGAGTTTTACAGAAAGCTTTCGGACCTTCTCCGAAAAGCTAGGCGCTCGGATGTAGTAATAGTGGCCGGTGACTTTAATGCTCAAGTAGGTAAACTAAGCGATAGGGAAAGACACCTAGGTGGATCTTATGGTGTCGTGGCTCAAAGAACAGATAATGGCGACCGTCTGTTGCAGCTATGCTCAGATAACCGCCTGTTCCTTGCAAATACTAACTTTAAGCATAAGGAAAAACATCTTTTAACATGGCGACCCCCTAATTCGTCCCAACGTTGGACCCAAATAGATCACATCGCTATCAGCCACCGATGGAGGGGCTCGATAGAAGACTGTCGCTCATTCTGGAGCACATGCCTAGATTCAGATCATGCTCTAGTGCGAGCGCGTATTTGCTTGCGTCTTACTGGACGTAGGAAAGACGCTGCAAGGAAACCTCTTAGGGCCTACTTAATGATAGTCAAGCTAAGAGTATATTTCAGGAACAACTAGGAAAACAGTTAGGCAGCCATGTATGTGATGCCCACCCCGATGCAGCATGGAATGATATCCGAAAAGCTGTGGAAACAGCAGTGATATCTGCTAGTAAGGTAAACCAGAAGGTTAGGGAGCAACACTGGATCTCAGCAGCATCTATCGCACTGATAGATGCTCGGAAACTCATTCCACCTGGCTCTGAACATAATGAAGAGCGGAGTCAGCTTAAGCGCAAGCTGACAAGAAGTCTACGCAATGATCGCGAACAGTGGTGGGTAGCGAAAGCAAGAGAGATGGAAAAGGCAGCGGCAATAGGTAATAGCAGACAATTGTTCAGACTCGTTAAGGAAACCGGAATTAGGAACCCGACCGTTAGCGAAACAATCTCAGAGAAAGATGGACATATTATTCATTCTCAATCCAGGAGATTGGATCGATGGGCAGAACACTTTAGGGATCAGTTCAACTGGCCTTCAGCCACACTTCGGTTTCCCACGATCTCCAGTCAACCTGAATGGCAAGTTAATGTAGGTCCTCCCTTTACGAAGTTGAAAAAGCCATAGGAAATCTGAAACGAGGGAGAGCAGCAGGCCCTGACAGGTTTACTCCTGAGATTTTTAAGGATGGTGGTCCAGTATTAGCAATGAGATTAACTGAGGTCTTAGGTAGAATTTGGGAACTGGACGTAATCCCATCTGACTGGTCTCAATCACTGATTGTGCCAGTCTATAAGAAAGGACAAAAGTCCTCTTGTGACAATCACAGAGGAATCAGTTTGACTAATATAGTGTCTAAAATATTAGCTTCAATAATACTTCGACGCCTAACAAAGCTCGTGAAGAGCAGACTAGAGAAAACCAGGCTGGTTTTCGACCTGGACGTGGTTGTATAGATCAGATATTCACACTACGTCAGGTTCTAGAACACAGACACACATTCAGACGCCCCACAATGGTAGTATTTCTCGACCTTAAGGCGGCATTCGACTCTGTTGATCGTGAGGTTCTATGGCAGTGTTTGTCACTGAAAGGAGTACCAAAGAAGTACATTAACCTTATAAAGGCTCTCTACTCGAACACAACTGGTAGAGTGAGAGCTTATGGCGAACTGTCATCAGAATTGATTACCTCAAGTGGTGTTCGTCAGGGCTGTCCACTCTCCCCATTCTTGTTCAACTTTGTCGTCGACGTACTTTTAGAGATAACACTCTCCTCATCTAAATTTCCAGGGGTTGAACTTCTACCGGGAGGTTCACTTGTTGACTTAGAATATGCTGATGACATAGTTTTATTTGGTGAAGACGCTGACAAAATGCAGAGTCTTCTGACCACTCTAAGCAACAATGCAAGCATGTTCGGGATGCGATTCTCTCCCTCGAAATGCAAAATGTTGCTTCAGGATTGGGTTACATCGACACCCGAACTAGTGATAGGGAGTGAAGTAGTTGAGTGTGTCGACCGCTTCACTTATCTTGGAAGTCTCATCAGCCCTTGTGGTTTAGTGTGTGACGAAATCTCAGCACGGATACAGAAGGCTCGACTAGCTTTTGCCAACTTGCGTCATTTATGGCGTAGGCGAGATATCCGTCTATCAACCAAAGGACGTGTTTACTGCGCAGCAGTTCGTTCCGTCCTACTTTATGGCAGTGAAACATGGCCGGTAAGAGTAGAGGATATCCGTAGGTTACTAGTATTTGATCATAGGTGTCTTCGAAACATTGCTCGTATATCATGGGACCATCGAGTAAGTAACAGTTGTTAGGAAACGGGTACTAGGTAAGGATGGCAAATCAATTGATGACGTAGTGAAACTTCATCAGTTGAGATGGCTGGGACACGTGTTACGTATGCCCAACGACCGACTGCCTCGACGTGCTATGTTCAGTGGTATAGGAGTAGGTTGGAAGAAAGCTAGGGGCGGCCAAACCAAAACATGGCACAAGTCCATGAAGTCACTGACAAGTGACTGAGTCATGTTGGTAGGTGTAGACTACCTGGTTGGGGACCGCGAGATGATAGCAACCGATGGTTAGAGACCCTGAATGACATGGCTCAAAATCGTTTGCAATGGCGCAGGTGCATCCACTCTCTGTGTTCTCCCAAATTCTAATCTTCTGAATTCTTCATGTCCCTTTTTTTCTTTCCAAATTTATTTCACTGGATTATACTCTTTAAATAACATCTCCAAACCCTAATCTTCCCGATTACTGCTTATACTCTTATTACCTCTACCACTACGGGATTTGAATCGACAACTGCATCTCTGTGCTAATGTGGTGTGGCAACTCGAACTGATGTACGTACGTACGAAGTTCTACGTTGTTACTGACTGACCGTGTCTACTAGTCTGGTTAAAGCGCCAGACATTCGCTTTTCGTTCTCTCGACTTCGTAAACAACACCCCCCTCCTGTGAGAAGACAGTGAGTAGGACTTCCCTTCCAGATCCTATATACGCGTGGCCATGTGATAGCATTTCGAGAGGGAGAGCTAACTCTTTCCACCCTCGGCCTCATTTTGGGTCAATAATAATAATGAAAAACAAAGTAGAATTGAGACGGAGTTAACCAATAGGTTAAAAGTTTGTAAAATCCACTCCATTTAATTTCGTTTGAACAAATAACTGAAATTAAAAACTACCATGTTCAGTTATAGTAATATATGCTTGATATGTCAGTAATTTCTATGATCTATCTGTCAGGTGTTATTCTCCTAACTTACTTAGAATAAATTGATTTTAATTGCTTTTGCTTGTATTCAATTAATTTGTTGAGTAGGTAAACTATTCAACTACTTTATTTCAATAAAATTTATATACAATACAAAATATTTATAGTTAAACTAAAGATTTATAATTGTGGTATTTTTTTTTCCAAATTTAGTGTTTAAATTTTATGTTTATCTTAATCTGAATACTTTAATTTGTGTATTCACTTCGAATATTCATTCAATTGTTATTTTACAGTACTTTATTTGAATTGTACATACCAATTATTCAATCTAAATAAGATATAAATCTGACAATCTGTCATAATATAAAAAATCTAATTGTTTACTTAATCCGTCATATGATAGATCTTCTATTATTGAGTTATAAATCAATTCTCTTTTTTTTTTTACACTTCACATAAATCAGGTGAACTGTTTTGTTGTTGACCGTTTTACAAATTTCAACGTTTAGTTCTATTCTAACATATGGTTACATAATTGTTTTTGGTGTTTAGTTTCTAGATAAACTTTTAAGTAACTATGTCATTTGATTATTGAACTTCAGTTCTTGTTCATTTTCTATTTTTGAACTTTTTCCATAAGGGTTGTCTAGTCTACTGCAATGATTTTCTCAGAAATCCATCTAACATAGTTATTTATTCATCAAGAAATGAATTTTCTGAGGTTTAGCGGGAAGTCATGATTTTTGGAGTTAAACAAGTAGTGAATGATGACATCGATTGGAGATAGCACGCTATCATAAATCGACCGAACTTGGGAATGGAAACTGCTGATTACTGAGTCATATGCTAAGTGTTATCATTCTTGTAGAGCTATCCAAAGATCCTGCGTTTCATCTCTTATCTGTTGATGAGTGGGAACAACTGTTAAATGATAAGTGTTTTTGTGTCAGTCATCGCACTTGCTTGTATCGAACTTAGCATGACGTAATAATAAAGGATATCAAGACTCCTTAATCTATACTCACTGTTTATTAACACTTATCGGTGTAATACTCTATTAACTTTTAGGAAGATATTATTTCTTCATGAGATTTGACGCTCATATCGCTCAAAATCTTATAGTCAAAGATCATATTAGTTATTCCGCTACATTATAGTTCATTGGGATAAAATTTAATCAGCATTTAGATTTTAATAACATGATATTAGTGACCGATTAGTAGATTATGTAGACAACCATCGTTACTATCACTAAACTATCCGAGTTTTGCTTTGATTGTAAGTTTTTGTACTTTTCATGAAAAGTCGGTGCTATTTAAATAACTATCAGTAATGAAGGCTTACTAAATACCTGGCATTATTTCTCTCTTGTTTGACAAAATTTATCCAAACTCCATAGTGAAGATAGAATAATGTTAAAGTATGCTTTTTTAAAATAAATCTTATGGAAGAAAATAATGTTTCATTATTTACAACAGGATGCTAAACTATCCAGACATCAAAAAGCCTGTATTAAATTTCATAACCATTTTAGGGTGTCTTTAAATTACATTTAACTTATTAGATTCAAAGAAATTCTTACACAAAACGGATGGAACTGAAAACTTTAAAATGCATACACGTTTTACTTGACAATATGGATATCGGTTTACTGCTTACAAATTAAATTTTTATTTTTAAAAGCAGTATGCAATTCAGAATAACAATAATAATTAATGTATAGTTGCATCATGCATTTTGTTGCTAATGTTTTAGGCATGGTACCTCTCTGACGCTTGTCATACAATATCGAATCCCACTATACCTTGTGTAAATATTTACCCTACAGAATGTTTTCCAAAACATCACAGTGATATACAATCTTTAAATGGTTCAGTTCATGATCAAAAAATAAAGTCAGATGTTCAAACAGGTTACATGAATGATGCTTTCCCAAACAACAATAATTCAGTTGTTACTTGGTCTACATGTCGTTTGATTGAACGTTCTCAGCATCCTTTCGTATGTGATTATCGGACACGAAGTCTTAAACGACGATCGTCACTTGATAAGAAAGAAAATAAAATGCTAGTCTGGTTTACCTCTGGACGTGATGGTCGAGTTTTTGGTCGTGAATTATTTCTTCCAGGTGATAATAGATCAGTTACCGTCAATGAAGAAAACAAATCTGGTGTTGAGAGTGATCGATGGAAATTGGATTTAGATGCTCATACACCAATGACTATAACAAACGCTGATATTAGTCTAAGTGGCCACTGGCTTGTAACTGGATCAGCAGACAAAACTGCAAAAGTTAGTTTTTTTATCATTTGAGTTGCATACATTCTCTAAATTATTCTATCAGGTTCATTGAATTCATTTTTTATCATTTCATCGTTTCACTGGCATCCTAGTGTATACCGGAAAACGGGGCGACAAAACTAATCTTCAAAGGTTTTGATTAATAATACAAGATCACTTATTGTGTGATTGGTTTAAAGCTAACTTCCGTCATTTTAATCTTTGAAGCTCGCTAACGTCACCAGTAGACGATCATACCACTGTCTTGTTCCTGACTTCTTAAATCCTGTCAATTGTTTTTAGTAAACATCGTTCGTAAGCATGTCACAGTATCTTTTGCACAAAACCGTTTGAGAAAATTTGTTAAAGAAAATGTCTTATGTGTTTCATTTCCAAAATTCATTATAATTTTAAATGTTTTGTACTAAGTGAGAGATTTTTTAAAGATCTTGTGTATTCTACCTACAGATTATTTGTATGATTTCTCTATAAATTTTTTGTTTTATCAAGGTATGGTTTTTACCTTCCGGCACACTGGCTTTTGACACAGGTATGCATCCTATGTGTGTCCGTTCTGTGGCTTTCCAACCAGTGGTTGAATTAGATGATGAACTAATTATGGTAACCGGTGATGATGAAGGTACTTTACGTGTTTGGCGGTTGACAGCTCAAATGTAAGTTTTGTGTGGCTAAATTTTTCATCTTTACTATGTGGTTATGAGTTTTAATTTTTTGATTGAGATTTTAGTTATTAAAGTGAATGAATAACATATATATTGATAAATGAAATACAATGCTATCCCACGGCCAAGTAATTACTATTCATGAGATTTAATTATTTTCCTCAACCCACTAATGTACTGGTATCACTAGCCAAAAGAATATATTTTGTATCCAATAAAATGACACGTTTCTATGTGAAAAATTCACATGCAGTAATTATATAGCTTTATGTTATAAACGGTTGGACAAAATTGTCAATATTTTTTCCTGAACCAACGGAGTTAAAGATTCCAATTGATTGGATTGGCTGTCGTTTTTCGAGTATGTCATATATATCTTTACATCGTTTTAGGATTACACTATCAGAATTCTTTGTTACAATGATAAATAAGTGATTATTTTATTTACCAATTATATTAATTTATAGACATTTCCAGTAAACTCATCTAAGATCGTTTCTGTTGGTATAAATTCTGAATAACAAACTCTGTTGTTGATTCACATAAAATTTTTAACAAATTTTTGTTGTTGCTGCTCAAATTGGTTTTTAACGATAATCTTTCAAATTGAACTTATTTTTACCTTTCACAATCTATGAAATCTAATTCTAAAGAGAAAATTATTTCATGATAGAAAAGGAATTTAATCTGAAGATAAAGATGACTTTTACCTTTAACATCGGTAATATATCCTAGATGTCTTTAAGGGACATTGTTTTTTGTTGTAAGATACCGGTAATCGTTGTTTTAGTACTTGAATATCCAGTAGTTCAATACCTTTTCTACCTACTTCGTCCTTCTGTTCGACAGCTGATATCGATTATTATTTAGCAAAATTGGTAATAGTTTATCACATGCATTTACTCATATTTATTTAGTTTTTCTGTTTTCTTTCGACCGTTGTTGCTACATTGAGATGGTGGTCGGGCTTGCCTATTGTGATGAAGCAGCCGAGCTATACTGGCTGGAACAACTGTTCCTCAAGGTCCTACCATGTCAAACAGGTTGGTTGAAGAGCGGTATGACTAAAAGCAACAAACCCAAGGTCCGAAGGCGAAGTCATACTGCTGACTGTACAGAGGTTTGATGGCAGTAAGGTGTTTCCTTCAGACAATCACCATGACCGATGCTGCCTTCCCACAAGGAGGGGTGGGGTTAGAAAAGGTCGACCCCAAAAATGCACACCTCGCCTAATCCCACGGATATCCGTCTCCGGCGATAAGGTCTCAAAAGTACGGAGCTAACACAAAAATTACCCATAAAATGGTCGTCTTTTGGTAGCACTAAGCAACAATGCCAGAATGTTTGGAATGCGCTTCTCTCCCTCTAAATGCAAGCTGCTGCTTCAGGACTGGTCTTCGTCAACACCTGGACTAAGGATAGGGAGTAAAGTAGTCGAACGCGTTGACAACTTCACTTATCTTGGAAGTCTGACCAGTCGTAATGGTTTGGTGTCTGACGAAATCTCAGCATGGATTCGGGAAACTCGTTTGGCTTTTGCCAACTTACGTCACCTGTGGTGAAGGCGAGATATCGGTCTATCATTAGAGGGACGAATATACGGCTCAGCAGTTCGTTCTGTCCTAATTTACGGCTGTGTAACGTGACCATTAAGGGTAAAAGATAATCGTAAGCTACTAGTATTTGACCACAGATGCCTTAGAAATATTGCTGGCGTCTGCTGGGATTACGGGGTAAGTAATAGTGAGGTTAGACGTAGGGTATTAGGGAATGATGGTAAATCAATTAATGAGGTTGCGAATCTTCATCGACTGAGATGTTTGGGCCACGTGTTGCGTATGCCTGAACACCGATTACCACGACGCGCAAGGCTAACTGGTGTTGGGGATGGTTGGAAGAAAGTTAGGGGCGGCCAAACCAAAACGTGTCATCAGTGCTTGAAATCACTAAGTTCTGGTTTAAGCCATATTGGTAGATGCAGACTTCTTGGTTGGGGTCCGCGTGACTATCGTAACCAATGGTTTGAGACTCTGGGTGACATGACTCAGAATTGATCACAATGTTGTTGGTGTATACACTCTTTGTCTTCACTTAAAGCATGAGGTTAAATTCGCTTCATATCTTTCTTTCTATACTATATCTTTATACGCAATCTTTCTTTTATATATTACCACCACTGAATTAACTTCTATGAATTCGGTGTTCATATTGATGTGCTAATGAAGTGTGCCATCTTATACAGATGCATATATGTGCCTGGTCCTACGCTGTAGCTTACTGACTGACTTTCGACTCAGTTAAATTTACTTACACTTTTTCTAGGCCAAAAGATAACTAATTTTTCTCTTTTTCATATTTTAGATTATGCAGTCAACTAGCACATATTCCTAAAACTGTTAGTAACGAAAAAATTTCATATTTAGGACGACCCTTAATCCATGATTTGCATCTATGTGGTGTCGATCATAATCAAAAACCTACAATATATATTCCAAGTCCTGATCCGGTGCAACGTTTCTCATCTCGAAGTGGTTATCTTAACGACAATCGTCTATTTAATAAACGACCTGATTACTACTCAACAGCTGCTGGTTATGGATCAACATGGTTACATAAATTGACATGGTCACCAGATGGACGATTATTAGCTGGCCTGTCTGATCGTTTATGTGTTTGGCCCTTTGAATCTACCCAACAATTTGATCTACCAAACAATGATTCTAATGATTCTTCAGATAATACAAACAGTCCTGTTCATTTAATGAGACGTGTTAGTGTTCAAGATAAGTTACCCACTTTAAATCCTCCTAAGTTCGAAATACAGCAATGTCGTGTATTAAGAGTTCTTTCTTCTGGTGCATGCAATTTAACTGGGACATCACCACCTTTAATGGTTAGTCCAAGTCGTTTATTGGAGTTGAATTCTAACGATAAAAATTATGGTCAATTTTCATCAATTGATCTTCCGCCTACTATTGTAACAGTCGATTCTAATACAGGCACATTATACATATTTGATCCAATTGGTTCTTTGTTTTAGTCTATTTTCATAAAACATTGATGATTTATTTTGTTTCATTTTCTCGTATCAATCCATGATGATCATATTTATATAGTCTGTTTACTGTGTGTTCTAAGTATTATTTTGTTTATATGTGTATACAAAATTGTGATCGATATAATTTTGTTTTATCACAATTATTTGTCGGCTTTTCAAATGTAAGTGCTAGTCGTTGTCTCTGTTTACTCGTGTATTTATTTGTTTGAAGATTTTTGTACATGTAGATTTGTTTCACTATGTATATATATATGCATTATTCTTCAACCTTTGTTAAATAAAATAGAATTTCAATAATAATGTGTTAGAATTTTCCTGATAAAATTATCATCATTCTGTATTTTAGACAATTTATTATTAAGATAGGATAGATGGAATTATGGAATAACGGTGGCGTAGGATAAAGAAGTGACTGAGGTTTGAAATACGTGAAAATTTGATGACAATTCTATGTTGTAGAGGTAATGTATTCACACAAAGACTTATGGGTCTTGTACCTGTTCCTTGATTAGTGTCTATGTGTAGGAAATCCTGCATATCCTTGTGCTTTTTATTTAGCTAGGTGGTTTTGTAGAAATTTGATAGTTTCACCACATGGCAATAAATACTGGAATCTAAAGAGCACCGGACAGTTGTCCTGTCTCAATTTTATATTGATCACTTCGTTGACCTCAATATTTATTAGCTATCGCAGAATAACTTTAGTCATATAAATAATGAATAATAGGAAAAATAGAATTCAGCGAGGAAAATTTTCTTTTTGTCGAAATCAGTTACTTAAGCTGCACATTCGTATATATAGTTATATGGAAGGATAGAATAGCTTGCATCATTGTTTTTCTCCTAATACACTATTATGACTTTCCATCCAAGTTATTTGGGGAATGAGTCATCTCCTGGACTATTTATTCGTGAAAATATTTATAGTGTGATGCAATATGAAGAGTTATTCATTCATCATTCAAATAATAGTTGACTACAGTATTCCACAACTCGAGTGGAATTTACATTTCATTCCTTGACATGACTGAGGTGAATTTCATCGTTTAAAGCACACTACTTGCAAGTAGTCTGTGTTATCAATATAAAAGTATGTCCCATTCGTTCTATCTTGGGATGCAAAACTCACAAACTGATAAATTTATACTACTGCACATCTAGATTTCCGACTTACTAATAAGATATTGTTCTGGTATGTTGTAGGCTGATGAATTTCTGCAAAGCAATTAAATCTTGAAATAATATAATATTGATTTAGATGATATTTTACACACCTTTAACTTATGCCACCCTTCCATAGATTTCACGTTAGAAAGGGCACAAGACCAATCAATTCATTTTCTCGATGTACGTCTGACGAGAAGGAGTAATGGTTCTTTAAAAGGATCCGTCTTTAGAAAACAAACATGGAATGGCCAGCTAACCAACTTCTATAGCTGGGTTCCGTTAAGTAGAAAGAGAAACCTCATCCATTCTTTATGTTATCGATTTCATCAGATATGCAGTACGGAATGCATTAACGAAGAACTCTCATTCCTCAAGAAAACCTTGACGAAAAATCATTACCCAGAACGTCTCATAGAAAAGAATATGAATAGAAGTAGTTACGACAAGAAATTTAGTTGTTCCGTCCCGAAGGAAAACCTTTATATAAATCTGGAATTCAAAGGTGATCGAACATCAGACGTAATCAAAAATCGTCTAACAACAACTATTAGGAGAACATTTAACGCGGCTGAACTGCGAATAACCTTCACTAGTAGAAACTTATTTTATATATCCATAAAAGGTAAGCTTCCGCGTCTGGTCGCCTCCATGTCCATCTACCAGTTCACCTGCTCTTGTGGAGCAAGGTACATTGGCCGTAGCCAGCGCTGGCTTTCAACTCGGATACGGGAATATATCCCAGCTTGGTTCTGTAAGGGTGGAAGGAAAGCAATTAAGAGTTCTATACTTGAACACCTAATCGACTATAACCATTCTACAGATCCACAAATTGACTTTAAGGTTGTTTATGTGATTCGTTCAAATCTACCTAGATTTCTTCGTATCCAACTCTTAAAAATAGCCGAAGCTCTTATCATCCAGGAGCTTAAACCAGAACTATGCGTACAAAAGAAGTACGTCTTATCGTTATCGTTACCTTGGCCTTAATTATTTCGATTATCCCATATATATATATATATATATATATATCTTATATTCTCATTATTTTATTCGTAAATGCTCATCATATCACCTTATTTATTTTTTACATCTCTATGACCTTTAACTATTATAACAAAAACATTTTAATCATCTTATTATATTCACTAAATCTATTGTTACTATGCCTATTACGTAATCTTGTATTACAATCTTTTTATTTCGTCATGGTTAATTGTTTCCACATTTCCTCACAGAATTAGTACTTTCACAAAAAACAAAAAAGATTTTCATATCTATACGATTGTACAGCTTGATAATAAATTCGTTGAAAAGAGATCCCTTCGCTGAACTTCGTGTTTCAATTTTAATGTTTAAATGGGAATTATCTGTCAAATCTTGAAATAGATGTTATAATTGCTGCTTTAGATGAATCATTACTTTCAAAATAAATGAACTATTTCAAGCTTAGTGTAATTCGGTATATTCTACATGAACAACAATAATAAAATTTCGACTATAGGAAGTTATAATTTTCTCTCACTAAGTACTAGTGGAAAGTCTTCGTCATCACTAAGGATTTCCTTTTTTATTGTTTGAAGGATTTTGGATTTTAGGTTAGCTGAATCATAGCGAAAACTTTAGGACTTTATATAGTGCATTGGATACAGCGATAAATGATTTTTTTTCACTTTTCGAAATTCTAGGCAAATATATTAGTATGAACTCGGTGATACAAATTAGGATATCATAATGAGTTTATCAACATGATGATTGATGAAAGTTCACTGCGAATAAATGCTCTCTCGATCCAATATCATGAAGCACTTTGATTGAAATCTCAAAACAATTTCAAGATCTTTTAAAATAAACATTTACTCCAATCCGTCTCTGATGAGAACTTCGATTAGCTTTAATGGATCCTCTTCAGTCGTTTCCATCGAAGGATAATCTTCGACGAAGACTCGTATAAAAAAACATAAATATTGTTATTATGATCCTGTAAGATATGAGGATTTACTACTCCTTCACTCAGACAAGTTACTGGGATCGTTCTTATGGATCGAAAAGACTACGTTGATCATTTATCTGCTCTTCCAACGTCGATGTATGAGGATATAAAACTGATATCGTTAAATGTCACTTTTCTATTCACAAATGTCCCACTCGAAAATACGATTTGTTTTCTATACAACTATTGATCGTAGTAAAATATATATCGGAGTCCCAAAACTACTTAGAAGAGCTACTCTTATCCTGCTCTTTCAGGTTGTGGTTTAGATTCAGTGATGATCTATATGGACAAATATTTGTGGTTGCAATGGAATCTCCACCGATTTTCCTTCCAACAGACTGTTTTATAGTTAGTCTGGGAAACACTTGTTGGAGCAATAATCGACAGATTCTATTTCCATGAGAGATATATGCATAATACCTTCATCTTATGTGAAGAAATGTATTACATGAGTTAAATGAGTGCCAGTAGTCTGTCACGTTATCAGTGGAGCCAGGGTTGAACGTGTAATTTCATTTTCTTAGTGTGTTGTTGAAATAAAGACCAAAGAGATCTCAACAATGATCGGTTTACAAAAAGCCTACATGGAAGGGACAGTATACAAACTCCCAGAAATTAAACGACAAACTGAATGTACTCTCCATTCTCAAGAGCCAGATGACATGGTAGATGATAAATTGAATAAATCGGATGATGACATAGATGAATGATCTCTTACCCAGGTCTACTGGTAGTAACCAAAATCGAAAACGTCGAATTGGAAATATCCACAAATTTCCAAAGAAAGATTTTTTCAAAAAAGAATATTTGAGCGAACAGTTGTTTTCAATAACTTCATCATCAGGCTCTACAGTTATAAATCCATAATTACAATAATTTACAAATAATTTGCAAATAATACAATTTTGAAGTATATATATGTCGTAACAGATGCAAGCGTTCACCATTTTTAACATATAACATTTTTCAATTCATTAATACATGCCTTAACTTTGGCCTTTGTAAATTATAATTATGGACTTATAACTGTAGAGCCTGATGATTAAGTTATTGAAAACAATTGTTCGCTCAAATATTCTTCTTTTTTGAATATTCTATGGGGATTTTTAAACTACTGAAATTTTTTTTCTCAGACATTCAATTTAAAGGCAACACAGCATCAAAGATATCAAAGAAAGACTTTTTATTCAGCTGATCTTCGAATTGTTTTATCCGCCAAGAGCATCACTCAGGGAATTGTCGAGAATAGATTTCCACTTTGTCCTTGTCCGTATATATATAATGATTCCCCTAGTTCAAACATGATTTATGTAGATGAAACATCTTTGTTCAATCGTTTATACTTACATACTTCTTTTACTCCTTGTAATTTTTACTTATCGTAAGTACCAGTTATTGTCTGATAATTCATCTTCTACGTAAAGGGGACTGTTTTTATTTACTTTTCTTTTATAAATTATTATTTCTTATTATCTCTGAGATGATGACATAACTTAAACGTTTAATATATTGTAGTTGTTAAATGATGCATTACTACCGTTCTATTCAATAAATGAAAACTTTTAATAATGTTATTTCCAATAGTTTTATTAAATGAAGTAATATACTTCTATTTATAAACTATTTATACTTAACACTTGAAAATATTTGGTAATTTTTTTTGACGATTTCATAAAATAATATGACAGCTCTTCATTTTTTATAGACTCTTCAATTCGATACTTGAAAATGTTTGTCTATGTTTATGGTAAATTTGTTTAAGGATGTAATGCCTGTCTATTTATGATAGACTACCCACTTGTAAAATTACATTTTGAGAAAA